GTATAATTTAGAACATATCTTCAGATACATTCACATTCAAGTTGAATTTCAAAGATAAAAAGTCGTTAACAATGTCATTAGTTCTTTCATGTATTGCCAGTATTTACGATCCAATCGGTTGGCTTGGTCCAATTATATTAACTGCAAAATTATTTATGAAGAAGTTGTGGTACAATAGATTCTATCATCGATCAGGATCGCAGTGCCTTCAGCTCATCGCAACGTGTAGTAACACACCGCCAGGCTGGAGCCCTCTCACATTATTATTATTATTATTATTGTGGTCACTACATCTTGATTGGAAGTCAGCATTACCTGATGATTTATGTGAGGAATGGAAAAAAATTGAAACATCGCTGATATTGGTTAATCAAATTAAAATTGATCGACAAATAATTTGTATAAATCCAGTAAATATTCAATTACATGGATTTTGTGATGCTTCTACAAAGGCATACGGAAAATGTTACATGTCGAATTATTACATCAAAATCTCGTGTAGCACCACAGAAGCAAATAACACTGGCTAGACTAGAACTTAGTGGAATTTTATTGTTAGCAAATTTGCAAAACGAATTTGCACAGTATTAGGAATTCCAGCAAATGATGTTTATTTATGGAGTGACTCTTTAATTGCACTTCATTGGGTCAAGTCAGAACCTGCCAAGTTATCAGTTTTTGTTGGAAATCGTGTAGCCGACATTCAAGTAGAAGCAGAAAAATTCAATTTTAGTCATGTTCGCACAAAAAGTAATCCTGCAGATTTAATTTCACGAGGTACAACAGCAGAAGAATTGAATAACTGTGAATTGTGGTGGAATGGTCCAGATTATCTTCAAGAAGATGTAGAGTGCTGGCCACATTTTTTATTAAACTTTGATTTGGATAATTCCGAATATAAAAAGGAATTTCGTCGAGTTTTACTTGTAAATCATCCATCGTTGAATCACATCATTCATTACATTGAAAATAGATATTCTCATCCAACAAAGCTATTTAAAATATTTGCATCTTTATTGAGAATAATAGATAAATGGAAGAAGAAAACAAATATCAAATTCGAACGTCAGCATGCAGATTATGAGCTTCTAGGTAAAAACAAAGTAATTCATCTTATACAATTACATTTTTTCCCTCAAGAATTGAAGAAGTTGACAAAAGGAAAAGAAGTTTCATTATCATCTAGTATCAAACAACTGTCACCATTTCTGGATAATTATGGTATTATGAGAACAAGAGATCGCATTGGTGAATGTGAAAGTTTAACAAATGAAAATAAGCATCAAATCATCATGCCTAAGTGTCAATTTGTTTATAATTTGATTCGTCAGATTCATCTTGATAATTTGTATTCGACAAAACTTTCAACATTATTTTTTGTGAGACAAGTTTATTGGCCTGTCCAAGTAAAAGCGATGATTCATAAAATCATCAGTAAGTGCATCAAATTTTTTCGAGCATTTCCTGAGTGTCGTAAACAAATTATGGGAGATTTACCTCCAGAAAGAGTAAATCAATCAAATGCATTTGAAAAGGTAGCTATCGATTATGCTGGACCTTTATTAATTAAAGCTGGGAAGGTTCGTAATACAACTGCAATGAAGTCCTATATCGCATTATTCAAGTGTATGTCTACAAAGGCAGTTCATTTAGAATTATTAACGGATTTGACAACAGTGGCTTTCATTGGCACATTCGATAGATTTATATCACGCAGAGGACTTCCAACTGATATCTACTCAGACAATGCAACATGTTTTGAAGGTGCAGGCAATGAATTCAAGAAATTGGCTAAAGATTTGGAAGAACAAATTCAAGAATATTACAATGACAAAAATATAAAATGGCATTTTATTACACCTCGAGCACTTCATATGGGAGGATTTTGGGAAAATGGAATTAAGCAAATGAAGCATCATTTAAAAAGAGTTATGACAGATCGATTAATGACCTATGAGGAATTCTCAACTCTTTTATGTAGAATAGAAGCAGTTTGAATTCCCGACCCATTACATTTATAAGCGATAATCCAAATGATTTTGAGGCTCTTACAACTGGCCATTTCTTGATTGGACAACCGTTGAACAGTCGTTTGGAACGTGACTTTACATATAGACAACAAGGTCAACTGAAACGATGGGATATGATTCAACAAGCACAGCAGTTATTTTGGAAGTTTTGGTACAAGGATTTGATCAATGCTCAAATAAGACCAAAAGATTCAACAAAAAAGGTTCAATATTATTTGAATGATTTGGATCATCATCTCATCATGGATTCGAATGTGCCATCAATGAAGTGGAAGATTGGAAGGATTGTTATTCTACATAAGGGAAGAGATGGTCAAATTAGATCCGTTACTGTAAAGACATCTTTAAGCGAAGTTAAGCGACATGTGAATTATATCTGTAAAATTCCTATCGAGACGGCAGAGTGATGAATGGAATTCATCATGATTTAAGGAGGCTTGAAATTTATTTGATATTTAGTTGAAATTGATAATTTGGAAATTGATCACGTATAATTTGAAATTGTGAATAAATAGAATTTTCTTTTGTAATTCTTTTTATTATTGAAATTGAAATACAGTCCACTGGAAAATCAACTTGCTATCGTTTTTCATGTTCCTTTATAAATGTTGTACTTTATTATATTTTATAAATAAGATTTAAACAGCATATCCTCAAATATCAATAAAACGAAACCACTTTGTGTTAAAAATTAACATTGATTCTTAATGAATATCGCTTAATTATAATTTTTTATCCTCAAAAACCATCAATTCCAATTTTTTTCTCCCTTAATGAATTAATATTTCCATCATTAAATAATTTGCTGCAGTTCCAATAAAAGATCATATGATTTCTTCATCAAAAATCTTTTTTAAAAGACTTCTCCTTATTTAAAGTCATTAAAAGAGTTAAACGTTAATTCAAAAGGAGCGTCGAAAATGGTCCCATTAATTTTAAAGTGAATCGTTTTATAAGCGATTTTTATGAAATAAAATTCAAGCAGAGAAAAAAGAAAGAGATTAAATTGGCTCCGCAGAAAGAAGAAGAATTGCCAGAAAAATGATCTCATATACTTTATCGCGACTTTTATGAGGCTAATATTTTTTATTCTCTTATATTCTTTATTTCTTATTTTGTTATATTTTTTTGACGCATATTTTGTATTGTATTGGGATATGAAACGCTTACGTTTAACTTGACTGACTAGAAATTACAAGCTGGGTACATTCAAATACTTCTGACTTACAATTTATCGTGATAAAACTTAATCAAAAGCAAACCTAGCCTTGGCCGGTTTCACGGGTTTAGCTAAGTAGCAGGATTCTATTGAAGAAAATTTGATCAAAAGCATAAAGTTGATTGATTTAGTGACGATCAATTTCAATCATTCTCAAAAAGATAATTTTTGATCGTCGATCAATCAATTAAAAATTGCAACATAGATCGATTCGATCTTCGAACAAATTTTCGATGATTCAATCCGATCATTAATCGATCATTTGACGAACCCTGCTAAGTACCCAATGACCTCCCTACATCTGAACCAAACATGATATAAAAGTTTTTTCTTGGTCTTATTGTTAATGCTATTAGCCTTAAATCTAACAGTATGCGTTCCTTCTATCAAATCAAGTTTATATTAAATTTCCCTACTCAATTTCCTTCACATATAACTTCATTTTTGGGGAGCGACTCATCTTTGAGACATAACATTATTTTTATTCACATAAATGGAGAGCGAAATGAAAATTTAAATGTTAAATGCTTTCAGCTTCTGGAATTTTACTCCTCTATGTTTCAGATAAAGATTTTATGGATGAACAGAATCATCATGAGGTAGACGCGCAAGCTTTTTTTTTGTCTTAAAAGAAATCTCATTTTTTTAAAAACAGAAAAAAAACTTCTATTTTGGTGGTCTCCACGGCACTGCCGTTTTTGTCTTTTCTTCTGTTGTTAAAGATCATAATTAATTAAATGGAATTAGTTTAATCGAATCGCTGTCTTATGAATGTGCTCTTGTGCTTCCACTCCATATATACCCAATTTATTACCTTTCACATTTGTAAATAGCGTTTAACAGATAATTAAAAAATACCAAAGAAATCGGCTATCAATTATGAAACTTCAAACAAAAAAATAATAATCTGAATTGACTCATTTTGATACGATTATAATGGCTTTTGATCCCATTTAAAATTTGCATATAAATACTGGAAATATTGTTCTAAGAATTTTTATTATGTTCATTATTAAATTGGATTTTTGCCATTTTAAAAGCGTTTTAATTAAGTTCTTTATTCTTTTTTGATTATGAATCTTTCGTTTTATTTTTGCGCCTTTTTTAATTTGATGGAAAATAGTCAATTTCTCAGATTATCCTCAAAATAATGCTTTTAAAGCATTAGATGTCCAATTCTTATCGCTTAGTGACAGTCAATTAAAATTATTTATAGATTATTGTTTAGACCTTAATTTGAAAGAGATAACTTTGCTTTAAAATAGATTTCAAGGATTGGATTTAAGCATTTTTACCATTTTTACTAAGTATTCGGTTCCTTATTGTTGTGAACTGTTTCATGTTCTGTTCCTTTAGCATCCTTTTCCTTTCCCATGAACCTTATGTCGTGTGCGATTTCGGTCATAGCTTACCACCAATGAGTGCCGTAGCATCTAAAGTAAATGAGATTCAAAAGTGAACAATGTCTTTCCTAGGCGTTAATTGACTTAAAGACAAAGTGAAAATCATAATGCAATATTCAAATTATAGATCAAGATCTACATGCATATAGATTAGCAAGAATTTCAACACATAATTTCATAGTCATGCTATCCTTTTAGCCACTCTACAAAAACAAAAACAACAACAACCTTCCTCAATAGAATTTTGAGTAATTACTTCAATTGAGAATTTGTTATCAAAATATGAGAATTTAATCATCACTTCTAATAAATTATTTGTTTATAAGCTATTTCCTTACATTAAATGACTGTGTACAAATTACTCATCTCATTCAGTTTTTGTTCATCAATTAGGCTAGAAGCTATTGAACCAAATAAACATGTCGGCATCGAATTTCTTGACAGTCTTAGTTCTGATTTCCGTATTTATTGGATCGTTTGGATATTTATACATTATTCCTGGGGAGTTGGGAAAGAGCAAAGGTAAATATTGATTTTAAGACATTTGTTGCAAAATTAATAAATTTCATTTACAGACCATGATGGACATTGTTACTTTGAACAGAAGAAACTTTTGCTTAAAATTGATGAATCTGTTAAGAGAGATTGTGAGGAAATATCTTGTTATAATGATTATAGCATAAGAATTGCTGGGTAAGTGAATTTAGCAGTTTCAAGACACTTTTTGAATAATCAATGTCAAAATTCAACCTTTCAGTTGTGGAACATTCTCAATTCATGATCCAAGTTGCAAGAGATTTGAAAGAGACTACACAAAACCTTATCCAGAATGCTGTACATCATTTTACTGTGCTGAGCCAGCCGATTTACATGACGCAAAGCAACAATCTAAAGTCGACAAAAACATATTGTAGTGCCTTGAAAATTATGATGATTAGAGCTCAAAATTTATTAATTAATGGCATTTGACGAAAAGAGATTCAATAAAATTTTGCGACATTTAAGAAGTCTCACATTATGATTATTTGAAGCTTTTAATGCTCATTAAATTTCCATTAATTTTTATGAATTTTTTATTGCCTTTTTCTCTCTTTAGCGATACTTTCATCTTGCCATCATTATTTCATTAAATAGTTTTTCATCACCGTATGTTCTGGGAGAGAAAATAAGGTAGGATGACTGGCAGATTGTCAAGGAATTTTATCAGTTTTATTAACGGTTTTTGATATATTTGAAAAATTATTTTCGCGTCACATGATTGAGATGCAAAAAATTCAAATATAAAATTTTCGTTACAAATATTTGAAAGTTATTTTATAGTCATTTGGATAAGAAGTTGCCATTTATTAAAGGAAATGCGCACAATACGTGCACAGCATCCAGAGTAATTCTCACATTCACTTTATTCCATTGCTTTTAGCTCCGTGTTTTAGTATTTTTCATTAAATTTAATTCGATGAATAAAGTAATAAATGAGAAGCATTTAAAACAATCATAAATGTACGTCCCTCTCTCTTTACGCATACAACTACTGCCGCTGTTACTGTCATTTATAGATTAATCAATAAAAATTCATTTAATGAGCGTCGAATTTTGTATAAAAATCGTTTTTCATCTCTCGCGAAATTCTATAAACAAAACAATTAATTGAATGCTTTTTGCGGCTTCTGGCTTGCCTTTATTCCCTCTCATTCTCATCATTTTTTGCTTCTTGCTCTTTAATAAGTTGGCAATTTCTCGGCTATTTTAAGGTGTATAGCGTCAAACGTTTCTCTTTGTGCGAAGTAAGGAAAAAATAACAAATAAATGTATTGAATTACATTTATACTGAGAGTAAAACACTTTATAATCTTATTTGACATTAATTATGACGGAGAAGAAATAACATTTTCTTTTTCTTTTTACAATATTGTAATTTCCGCCCGCATGAATCAACACTTTATAAATAATTTTTATTATTTTCTCATTTATAAGGAAGAGTAGCTTCAAATAAAGAGTCATAATAGTTTCTTAAGAGCTTCAAATGGAATAATTTTTCTTTTTTGGTTTCATATTAAAGCTAATAAGTTACAATGTAGTACTTGGTAACTATGGATGAAAAATTAAATTTGAAAATTTAAGGTTGCCATAGCAAATTTTAATTTTGTAAATTTAATCTCATGTTTGTTGAAACATTTCCAATTTGAAAAGAGAGTTTACTTTAATATGATAATAATCTGTTTGATTTAATTTGTTGTATGCTCAGAACTTAGTCTTGAACTTTTAAAAAATTTGAAAATAATTTAAATCAAAGAAAAAAAACAATCTTGTGAGTTTTAAAGATGCAAACTTTTGATTCAGAGATGCAAACTTTTGCCTCAGAGATGCAAAACTTCGCATCATAGATGCAAACTTTTACATTAGAGATGCAATCTTTACATTAAAAGATGCAAATTTTGGCATCGAAAGATGAAAAATTTCGTAATCAAAAGATTGAAAAAGCCTCAACTATAAAATGGAAATAAAATTGACAATTAAGCGAAGAATTTTTTAAGTAAATATTGCTCATGAAGTTGTTTCGCTTGAAATTAAGTCAAAAACTGTTTTTATACAGTAAATCATGCAATATTTCGAACTGATCTTTTGAAACTTAGTTCATGTTTTTGAAAGACTTATAGAACTTACTGAGAACAGCATTTGGTATCAAATTTAGTCATCTTTCTATTTTTGTTATTGCTGTCGAACAGTAGAATATTCGCATGTATCATTGCCGACATTTACACGAAATTTGACTTAATTGATTGTCAAATTACTCTATTGCTCTGAACAAAACATTCAAACATCAGAAATCATTATGAACCGAACATATATGCAAGTTCAAAAATAGTTTCAAATCACAAACATATTGCTGTCTAATAATCCCAAAAGTAGAATTAATATTCAGCACAAATATATTGCAAATATTTCTCAACTAAAATATGCTAGACATTCAATTAAATTCACCTGAAAAATTTCCACTCATTTACTTTGCTAACATCATTTGCATAAATATTTAAAAAGAAAAAAATTATAAATTTCATGACAATGTCCTTTATGAAAATACTGACTGTCAAATCATCCGACAACACAATAAAATGGACCGAAAATTTCTCTCGGAAAATTCATAAAATTTTAATGCTTTTCAAGTTATGCAAATGATATAATATTCTAATAATACGTAGATATACAATGTAAAATCTAAGAAAATAATAGCAACAATAGCAATAATGATAGCAACATTCTACATTCATTCCTACATCTCATTCCATCCTGTGTCATCCACCCAATTTGTGTTTATTGTGCTAAATGCAATCACCCCTACAGGGAATTGAAAATCACAATTCAATTTTAATGAATAACAACATTATTCATGTGAGCGTTACTCATTCCTATCCTCACTGTGTCTTTTTGAAGCATTTTTGGTGCATTTTCGAAAAATTACGAACTAATGGTGCACTATGTTTGGTTGGCTGGCTCGCTGACAACTTAAAAGAAGGACACAGACATATTTTAAGGTTTTTAAAGGTTTGAAAAGTAGTTGAATTTCAAAACTAGTCCTAAAATGATCAAACTATCGAACTTGCACCCCAGACTGGATATAAGGACTGAATTTATTAGATCTGTAATATCAAAATATTAAATTATCAATTGTTGCTCAAAAAATGCGCCAGAACCCTTCAATCAAGAACACGAGGACATTTTCAACATTTTTTTATTCCTCATTCATCCAACATAATTATGTGCAATGGAAAAATAATCGTCAAAAATACCTCCCTGTTGTATGAGAGCAGTTTGAATATGATGAAGTATTTATCCACCCTCAACTTTTATATTTTATTAAATTGCTGCAACATGAACGAAAGGTAGTAGGATGATGCCTCACAATCAAATATAAAAGAGAAGAGTAAAACGTTTATCCATGCTCGTTGGGTTTACACAACCTCTTGACTCTCTCAGAATTATTTAAACGATTCTCTTGTGCTCTCGGCTGCTCATTCAAACAAGTTAATAAATTTCATATGTACATTTTTTTTCTGTGTTTTCTTTCCTCCTTTTTTTTCATGATGAAGACTTTGTTTATTTCATATTTGATTTAGTTTCAATTTAGTCTCCTACGGATTTTCATCGCACATTGTTGTGTTTTCATATGAACGGTATATCGTAGAGTAAATATATATTATAAAGTGGATATAAACGTAATAAAAATCTCCTTTTTTTGAATGAAGAAAAAAAAAATCAATAAAAACCGGTAGTTGTCGTTTTATTGTGTCATTATACATTTTTATCTATGATTTTTACTCTCGTCGCTGATGTTTAATTGCCAATTAATTTAAATATACATCAAAAGGATTTTTTTACAAAAATAAAACTCAATTTAAATATTTTAAATTGTTCTCACCCCATCAAATTTGGCGATTAAACATTCTTGTGCTGATTAATATTTTTTCCATTGAAATTTTTTATGTTAGGTTGTATTTAGTAAGCTTGTTGTAATGTGATACGCATGGAATGCAATTGAAATGGTAATTTAAATAGTGCACATTACTAATCTAGCTTACAAAATATTTATTTTATTATAATTTTTTAAATTAGATGGAAAAATTTAGCATATTTTGCATTAATCGGTGCTTTAGAAATGAAAACTGTTGAAAATCGTGGGAGTTTAAGTTGTTTGAGACTCGCTAATTAGGTATGACTAACGTGTGAGCTAGTTTTAGGAAAAAAACTAGGTGATGAATGTTAACGGAAATTTTGAATTTGCGATCTCACTTGGCGAATTTTCTCGTTGTTCACTTTTCTTCATTAAGTCAAAATAATTTTATTTTGTGGTAATCTTTAAGATTCGTCTTCAACAAACTTAATAAATCGTTTTTAAAGGCACAGATCTATTAGATTATCATCAATTGAACACTGCTTAGAACCTTTTTTTTTGCAAATTTCAAAAAATCAAAACTTTATAAAGTAAACTCAAAACAATACAATTTCATAAAAATTGTCACCAGAACAATACAAATGTTTAGTCATGAGCCAGTTCAAATAACTTCAACTTCTGCGAATTTCCCACCCAACGACAATTAATAATTATTATTGTTGAAATAATTAACGCTTCTTAAAACATTTTAGGACTGTCAATGATTTGACAAAAAAGAACAAATAATAATAAAAAAAATATAAAAATAAAAGAAGAGACGCCAAGTAAAGAATTTATATTTTTAAGTACATAAAAGTTGAGAGGAAACATAAAGCTGAAATAATAATATTAATAATAGAAAGTGTTAGTGTAGAATATAATAAAAAGCAATAAAATAAATTATGTTGGAATTAAGTGATTACATAGAAAGCAAAGAAGCATCAGTTCATAACAGCATTGAAACTAATAATACGAGCAATAAAATTAATAATAACAATAAAAATAGTGGCAATGTGGAATATGTTGAAGTGAATAATGAGATTAAAATGGTTAATAAACGATCAAAATCGTTAGAAAAGGATGATAAAGTTGTCAGTTTAAAGAGTAATTTAAAGACGGGAGAAAAATTAAAAAGACCCGATACAGCTCCTCCATATCTCACTGCTATGCTCACATCTCCATCATCAACAACAACTAAATGTAATGTCAGTTCCGATATACTTAATAAGGAAACAAGAAACGAAAGTTATCACGATAATGATAGTAACAAAAATTTAAATATATTAAAGACTGAAAGTGAAGTTAAAGAAAATATAAATAAATGTGACATAAATATTGTGGATAATCAATCACAGCGCTCAGTTACTATGACGTGGCATGAGCACATATACCGAAAACCGCCCAAAAAACCCACACCTTACTCTATTATGGATATACTACAGTGGGGATGTAAGAGAAAATCACCGAGCCCCATTGATTTAGTCAATAGTGATAAAAATAATAATTCTAATCGAACTTATCAAAATGTTGAACCTTCGACACTCCAACATTTACTTAATTTGAATTTGAACTCACCTCGAAGTGCCAATAATAATAATAATACAAATAGTAATCATAGCAACAGTCGAGGATTATCGTATGCTGAAACAAGTGAAGATGAAAGCAATTTAAGTGATCAACCATTAAATTTATGTGTAATTAAGTCAAGAGATTCATCTCCTGGATTAGAACAGCGGAATATTTCCAGCATAAAATCTAAAAAAGGTTTGAAATTTGTTTTTGTTTTTAAAATTAGAATGTTTATAGCTGGAAGGGATTCAAAAACAATCCGTAAACCGTTTTGGATCACGAATAACTCCATTGATAGCTTCAATTTATTTCGTTAATTGCCAAAAATGCAAAACATCGTTATGCTAATTTATCAATTAATACAGAAAGGAAACGCGCTTAATTCTCAAAGACCTTTTAAAACTTCTTCTTCTTTGTCACTTAATCGTTTATTATGCCCTTACTGAAACTGTTATTCTCGAATTACATGAAAAATATTATATAAATCTTGCTGCATATATGAGAATATAATGATATTTTTGAATGTCTACCAAGTAAATTTACTACTTATAGCATCAGTCATAGTTTTAATTGCGTGGGTAATAATTGAAGTGTTCTGTTTTCGTAATTACATTCAACTTCTTTCACTTCTTCCTCACTTCATCTTGGCTTTATTATTTAATATTCTGTAAAGTTTCGTTTTATTTCTGTTGGTATATGAATAATGTTTTATACTTTGTAACTTGAACATGCTTAAAGTATGTCAAAATTATATGCATATACAATAATAATGTAATAATGTGTGAAGGGCCCAGCCTTTCAGCTGGAGGCACTGCAATTCAAATTAGAACAGAATCTATTGTACCACACCCTTTAGACCTACAGTTTATAGTGGGATCCGAACCACTTGCAAGCTCTGTACATTGCAAAGACACGAGTACGTCATAAGACCTGATGTACCCTGCAATGTACCTAGTCACAATTCGTGTGCGCAAGATGCCGTAAGGATGTCATCCAGATGCTAGTATATCCTTGTATACCTAGCAAAGGAGGCATATTCTGTGCCAAAGACCTCAGAACTACACCCAACACACGAACCGAGCTTCGTAACTAGAACGGTGAAATGGAAAAAGAGCTTCGAAAATTAGACATGGCCTGGGATTGAACCCAGGACCTTTGGCACAGAAGGCCAACGCTCTACCATTTAGGCCACTGATGCCATTTCACCGTTATGCATATACAAACTTGACGATGTTTTTATTTTATACTCTAATATGAATTATATTCTCGTTTTTTGGAAGCAACAATTTTTTTTCTGAGATTAAATTTCACATTCTCTTTTATAAGCATTAACAAGATGCTTGTAAAAGTAATCAAAATTTAATCTGAAAGAATGATCTTATGGTTGAGTAGTTTTATAAATATGGAATTAGGAGATGTTATAATTTATTAAATTTCGGCACTAAGGTCCTCTATTGATGTGTGACATCTAGGATAAGATGACCATGACAGTATCGAGCAAGATTTGTCAAGTTTTAAAATTTTCATTATTGAGAGCCATTTATATCAAAAGATTGACATTGATTTATCATCAACCCTAGTAATGAGTTTTTAAGAATTTTTAAAAACTACTTTTAGAAATTTGAGCTTATTTAGTGTAAATTTGTCCCAAAAAAAGTTGCAGAGCATACGGATAAATAGCACATTAATTAGAACAATACATTTTTTAAGCTACAATGTTGAATTTGGGATTAAAGTTAAAAATCAGCATCTTGAATGTATCTTAAAGTCAAGAATCATAATTTTAACTTGAGAACAATAAATCATTTTCCTCAAAACAGTAGTAACTCGTAATAATGTTGAATAGCTACTATTATGATAAATCTACCTTAATTAATAGTGCACCATTTAGAACATAAACCACATTTCGCATTGCAAATAAATTTGACGAAGCTGTCTTAATAAAATAACTCATCAGCATCATCCTGTACAAGCCACTTAAATTATGTTCTTTTATAAAACTCAAGCATATATCCCCAAGACTTTGAATAATAAATTAATATAAAATCATGAAACATATTGCGTACACATTGACTGTATTAAAAATTATTGGATGATAAATCTTGAGAAAAAAAAAAATATAAAATTTGTATGTGAAATAAAAAAGCCATCGCCAAAGGCACAATAACGTGAAATCAATTGATATCTGTTTCGATTTTTTTTGTTGATTCAATTAAAATTCAATTCAGATTTTTTTTTTATATTTTCAATTTTTCAATTCGCTCTCAATAATAAAGCATTCATTTGTTCATTTCGAACTCAATTATTCACTCCATTTGATATTCGTTTATTGTTTTAATTGTTCTTGTTGTGATTCATAAATATGTATATGCACAAAATTCAGATATTAACGTCAATTTTTCAAACTATAAATTTATACGACTTTATTGTCGTAAATTGAATACAATTTTGATAAATTTATAGCTACTAGTATTACTTCACATTAGCGGAGAATTCTTTCATTCCTTTAAGGATGAATGAATAATATCATTAGGCACAATAAAAACCTACGACTTCAAAAAATAAAAATGTTATAAGAGATAATTGCTCAATTATAGTCATTAAAATTCAATGAGTTATTTTGAAAGAAAAGTACAATATTGTGCTGAAATAAAAGATAAAAAAAAATCATTTCCATTATTCAAAACAATACAGAAAATGAAGGAAAAGATTAAGAGATTAACAGAGCTGAATATGTGAGGGATTAAAGTATAATTTTCATTGAAATTTACAAAAAAAAAATCTTATTTCTTATCGCTTAATTTTTTCTTTTCTATTGCAGACATGCCAAAAAAGTCAATTTTAAAACGAAAGCGCTCAATTGATGTGACTTCCGATTCGTATTTATCAAATGATTCATTAAGTTATAAAGAGAGTTCAGCTAATGAGAAAGATATTGATGACGATGACATCATGAATGAAGATGGATATGATGAGCAGTTGGTGGACGGCAAGCGTAAAAAGAAGGCACGGACGACATTTACGGGACGGCAAATTTTTGAGCTTGAGAAGCAGTTTGAGGTGAAAAAGTATTTGAGTTCGAGTGAGAGGACTGAGATGGCGAGAATATTGAATGTCACGGAGACACAAGTGAGTTTATTAATGCAGTGTAATTTATTTATTTTGATACTTGCTTCAATTGTCATGCTGGTCTGGGGTGTAGTCAGGGGTAAAGAAAAGAAAGTGCAAATTTGTTCCATTAATCAAATTTTGGGTTATGTTTTGAATAATTATAAGTTAAGAAAAAGGAGTGAATCTGATGCTTTGCATCGTGAATCTATATTTTCAAATTCGAGGTTATAATTCTCTTTTATTTGTGATTTAACCTAAAAAAAACGAATTTTTAAAATGAAGACATTTGTAGATGGTTTTTAAGTTCCAATCACATTATCTTAAAAGTTTCTAAGAAATTAGTCAAAATTTACAAATAATCCCATCACTAATTCCCATTAAAACTCAAAACTCACCATGATTCACAGCATAATTCAATTTCATCTGACCAAACATGAATAAACTCAAAATCAATCATTATCAACTAAATTTCATTGAGCAATCAATCACTAAACTATTTTTCCTCAATTGAATTCTCAAACATCTCAATTATAAGCATCATTCATAAATATTTATACTTGCAAAATCATATTGATCTAGACTTTTCTTTCAATTTTCATTATTATTATTTTTTGATACGATTTAATGACAAGAGGGAGATGAATACATAAAAAAATGTTTTATTCTTCATACAACGACATCGATTTTAAATACGCATATCTTGTTTTCCACTCTTAATTTTTATGATCGTTTTAAAAATATATATCAGAGTTTGATGAATTTCTTCTGACATACAAGAGGCACTCATATTTTTAGCTTCATTTTTATAGGGAAAAGTTGAATGAATTGAGCAGTTTTGTTGGTGGTGGTAAAGATATGTCATAATATGGTTGTTTAAGAGGGGTTATCAACCTTGCAAGGGCCTTGAAATTTATGCATTTTTGTAAATTAGATCTTATGGTCAGGGTTTCTGAGACTAGCTTTGATAACTTCGTTTGGGCCGGCTTCTGGGGCTTTCTATGGATCTTGATCATTGCTATATTTAATTTATAGTTAAGTCCATCGATTTTCGATGTTGAGATAGCCATTGAAACCAGTCTCTGGTCACAATAGGTTCCATATGACTTAGATGCGACAGATTTTCGTGAATAATTCTAACTTAGGGAACCTACACTGACCTTAACCTGTCAAGAACTAGAATCAAACTCCATATATCTTTTCCCTAGAATATAGAAGTCCAAAAAGTTGATTGACCACCCAAAACTATATCAAATGCTTTTAAGAACCAAATAAAGATTTTAAACCACCAAAAAATATTTCAAAAATTTTAACAAGGAATTTAAAAAATTCATAAAAAGACGAAAACACGATCCGAATTTCCTCTGAAATGCCTTCAAAAAAGTTGTCACAAGAATATTTAAGAGCTGAGAGCATTTAACTAATGATTTAAAATAACATTCTGTTTGCTGAAAGGAAAATTATTAACATTTCTAATGATTTATACTCGGTCGTTGGGTAATTTATGAATTTATTTGAAAATTAATTGCTTTAGACTATAAACGATATAAAGAAGTATGAAAATAAATAAATTAAAATTTATTGAGAAAGAGCAAGTGATGCATCATTTGTGAATGTCAATCAATTGATTTAACTCTACCCTGGGACTGCTATCGAGTGAGATTTAGACTATTAAAATATCAATTGAAAGAAGTCTCACCTTAAAGGATGCAGCTTGAATCCGTGTTTTAAATTTTTGAAATTTTTATGAACACTTAAAGATGAGTGAAGAATTATTTTTACTCCTATAATTGCCAATTAATCATCTTCTTCTCTTTTTTCCTTCGTCGACGACACATACAACAGATAAATCATAAATCATGTATATATATGTGTGTAGTCGAGTGTACACAAATATAAGGGAAAGACATTCAATTGAATGAAATACTTTTATTAAGTCATTCGTGCAAACGAGCCTCAAATATATTGAGTATAAATGCTTCGAAAAAAAACGAACTGAAAAACAATATTCTTAATTGACATAAACATGTAGAAAAGAAAATATTCAAGTTATTAGATTGTTTAAACATTTAGTGGTCGTTGTCATAGCTATGCATAACTATAAAATATCTCAAAGCGTTGACACTAATGTGTTTGTCAAGTTCTCATCGAGAAAAGAAAATTGAAATTGCTTCTGACTTGTCACTTCCTTTCACGATCTCTTTTTGATACTTTTGGTACGTTAAATACTCTCTTAGACTCGCTGTGTGCTGTCTTCTGTAATTCTTTTTTTTATGAAAAATTATGTCCCAAGTATTTAAGATTGTCATACTTCCAACTAATCCCACTCTGGTTTACATCAACTGTCATTGAATGTAATATATTTATAGGTACAATTTGAAGTGGAGTAATTTTCATCTATAAGTACTATAAAGCACACAAAATTATATAGGTGAAGTCAAGCCCACTCTTAATGTAACACAGAGTCATGCTGTAATTTAATTTATAAAATTTTTAGCTTATTTGATCTGTTAAATGTTGACTATGAACTAACACGTTTGTAAATTTCTTTTGGGAATAAAACTTGGTTCTAGTTCATTTTTGTCTATAGCAAAATATTCATAATTATTAGTCTTAAAAGTTTCGCATCTTTTTTTCTGAACACACTTAAGATGCGAAAAATTATTTTGAAATTTTTATATCGAATTTCATTGTTGAATAAAACCAAAAGTTAAGAATCTGTGTATTAATATTCAAAGTTTTGCATCCATTCACAATCTCTGCAACTGTATTCTAAAACAATATTTCTTCATTAATATACTTGAACTAAATAACAATCTGAAACAAGATCCTCAAAAATGTTCATTTCCGTTTTGAAAATAGATCAATCAACATTCATAAAAATCAAAGTCATTCAAAAGAATTTTGATCTTGAATAATCCCCCCAAAAATAATTTCTTCACTAAAAGCCTCCCAATGATTTATACCTCGAAATTCTTTCATTGTCTTGAGAAGAAAAAAAATCGTCTTTAAAGACGAGATCTCACAAGTCAATATGGCTAATATCATCATCAGACTACAAAGTAATCCCAGGAGGGATTTTTATACAATGAGAACACTTATGTTATTTCCTTTGACAACTTAAAACAAATATGTTTAAATCTTTTTTTAACGAAGGCAGTTCTTAAATATTTACGAGATAATTAGTAGCAAATATTTCATGTATTTTGTTCGAAAAGAAATGATTGTTTGGAAAAGTTTTAGACAAAACCACTCGAGAGAACCGCCTTGAGGGTTCAAATTAACTCCATAAAAATGTCAATAATTCATACAAGTAGTCAAAATCCCTGATATTGCTTATACAATGTTTCATTTCCTTTGCAGAACATAAGTTGAGAATAAAAAGTTGATGAGAGTCAACAACCAATTAAGGATAAAAACAGAATCATTATAACAGGGGTTGAAATTGTTGTTTATAAATGAATCAATGAAGTATTTATGAGTTTCTGGAACTAAGCATTCATTAATTGGTAATTGATTGTGAATTAAATGGAGATTAATGGATATTTTGAAGAGTCTGTATTGATTTTTTTCTTTGAATTAATCAGCATTCATTGACAATGTTATTTGCTAGAACTTTGGGGGTCGTTCACTTATAACGTCCGAAATTAACGGTCATTTTTCAAAAAAGAACAATGGATTTTTAGGAATTTCTATTGTTCTTTCATTGCTGACCCCCCCCCCCTCCCCCTGTATGTCATAAGTGAACCACCCCTTCAAAATTCAAATAATTTTTTTAATGATTTTGAATCGCTAATAATTTGAATTTTTTTGAGCCGTTGAAAATTTAAATAATTTTTGAAAAACTGAATTTACATGATAGAAATTTGAAAAATGATTAAAAACCAGCTAATGATATTACACAAAAATATTAAAATCAACCACAATCCCTGCTCATCATACTTTAATGAGTTTGTAAGAAATTTCTGTTCAAAAAATTTAAAAAAAGAAGACGAAAAAAAAAAATTATGAAACTGAAAAGTATCACATTTCAAGTCGGAGGTCTGTTTTCAATTTTACTGTATGTTCTTGTTTGTTTTAAAAAGTGCTTGCAATCTTCGCTATTTGTTTTTTTTTTTTGAAAGAAGAGCCTTTAAAATTTCTTTGATTATTAATTGGATTGTTATGAATTCTTTTTGCTGCAATATCAATGAAAATCGATTATTTTAATGGGCTTTTAACATTGTAATTGGAATTGCAGTGAAAGTATTTAGGTTTGTTCGTAAATGATGTCTAGTATTAAATTCAAGAGCTGGTTTAGAACTGCAAAACACTTTATAAACAAGGGTTAACCTCAAAAAATACAAGCTAGGAATATCATTGTTGAACATCCCACAATGCAGCAAAATTTGCAAATTTCACATTTCTCCCCAATTAAAGTGTCAATCATGCAGTCAAATTCAGTTTCCCGATAATCAACTCAATTAAATGTAAAATATTGTAATAATTTTCATCAAAAAAAATCTAATCAGCTTCAATGAATGGCCTCTTAGGTAACAACACGAACAACAACATGAAAAACAATTATAAAATGATGCTATTGCTGCCACGAATTTGAAACAATTGAACTCATACCCAAAAAACTATCAATAACCGCCCCTCATGCTTTAGGGAGTATATAGCTCATTGAAAAGGATAACGACAATATTGTTGTTCATAAAAGCCAATTTATGTTATCGATTTGTTTTTCCACTACCTTGTCATACGTACATAAAGTTGAGCAAAACATTCACGATATAAAATCAATTATGTATAGACGATTATGCTTTGCATTAATAAGAATAGAAAATATTATAATTATTTAATAGGGTTGAAGGTGCTGCTTACGATAAAATTAGAATAACTTTTGTTTGTTTATTTAACTGCTGTTCAAATTAGATATGATGAAGTTCTGATTCTATTCTGTCATAAATTTTATTTTATATCCGATTTACAATGACTTTGCAGTTTTGTGCAGTTTCAAATCAATCGATTCGCAATAAAATATTTTTTTATAGTTTTTTTGTAGTGCAAGCTAAGGCTTGATATTTGAAATTTGCATTTATTCATCAGTATTAAGGAATTTCTCAAGGGAATCTATAAATTGTTAATAGAGTTTGTTGGTATTTGAGGTTTGACAGCATCAGCAATCCATTTAAAACGTTCCGAACAGTAGATTGCGCTAAGAAGGTTAATAGTCTAGCATAGGGTTGATTAAGTCAATGATTAGCGTCAAATATACAACGAATTCAGGCAACAAGCCTTTTTATGGCATTTTCTCCTATTATGTACAAGTTAAAATGTTTGAATTAAACCAAGGCGAATGACAGTTTAACGAGAGGGTTCGCCAGACCTCCCGCACAAACCTAGATATATAACTTACTATAGTTCAAGATTTCAAGAATCTCCGATCGTTCTTTCCAAGTTTTTCCATAATCTTAATCATATTGACTGTTAATCTGTAATTAATTCTCAGTTCAATTGATTTTATCATTAAAAAATTCCAAAAAATCAAAAATCAAAATCCGCCATTCCCATCTCTGCATCAATTAATCAAATTACCCTTCAAACCTGAATTGAAATCGAGCAATTTTTTCGTTTACTGTGCATGAATAAAAAAAAAGAAGAATCCCATTAGAAAATTCAATACGAATCACTTGTCGATTTTCCAATTATTTAAACCCACCCTACTCTAGTTCAATATTCCATAAATCCTCTAAAAGTTGCAGCGCAATGCACAAAAAATAAATAAAAAAAATTTTCAACAAGGATTTAATTCCCATTGTAGAATATAATCTTTAATAGCTTCAACATGATTCACAGTAAAGCAAAAGAGAAGAAGATGATAAAAATTAATTTGACAAGAAAAGGAACTCACTCATTCATTCATTAATTAATAAGCAGTATTTTATGTTACAATATTCCTCTAATATATACATTATTATATCCTGTACCCGAAATAATAAATAAATGTGTATATACACACAAGAGAAAATGATGAGAGGCAAGAGCAGTGGATAGAATAATAACAGTAAGAAGAAGAAGGGATCGTGACGTTGTCTGAAAGCGACTCGACAAAAGCAAACGTTTCTAAAATTAAATCATTGAGTGAGTTTATTATTCATTTAATAAACTGTTATTGAGTGATAATCGTTAAACGTATCGTTGATTTTTCCATTTTTTTCTTCTCTTCTGTTCGTGCCTCGCGTTTAATGATGGGTTTACAGTTTCACTCTCTCTCTCAATAGACATGCTCTCTTCGTGAGAGACCCGAGAGAGTTGCAAGTTCGGGTAGAATTAAATATCCATTATACAACAAATAAAATTCAATAAGTCGGTGATGATAAAAGCATTTGTATGATTTAAGAGCAGCAATTGTACTGTATATGTTCGCTCGTAACTCGCTATATTGTTCGAGAGAGGGATGAATGTGTGGGTGGCGTGAGCATAAATTGATTGGAATGAGGCAAAAAAAGGAAGAAAAAAAAAAGAAAAATACAATTTTCCATATAATAATAAATAGGGATTAATGTTTTATGTAATACTCAATTGCTTGCTTGCTTGCCGCTTCTCTCCTTACACAAATAAAACATAAATTTTCAACAGAGTAAATTGATGTGAATGGTAAAAATGTTGCCTCGTTATGCAGGCATGATTATTATGTTATGAAAATTTGTTACTTTAAGTTATTTATGACTTTTCATTCCATATAGAGTCATTCATTCTTTTAAAGTAATATAAACAATAAAATAAATTTAATTTTCAAAACTTAATAATCTTTAATTCTTTTTGATTTGTCTGTTGCGTCGTTGTTCGGGGGTTTGATTGGATGTTTTGTAACACTATGAATTGATAAACTTATCATTGTACTTATTTATGAGCTGAAAGTTTCGGTGGAGTAGTGTTTGTGTCTTACAATATGTAACTATAGCAGGAATGACATTATACCCGAATAACACAGGTCTGTTAATTGAATAGAAAAACCGCACCAAGCTGGCGTAGCTCTGGTATGATGCTGAATTCGATTTGAGTCTAGCACCATGCCACAGTCACGCCAGCTTAGTGCCAGATTTGTATTCGATTAACCGACTTGTGCTGATCGGGATTAGAAAAGGGATATAACTTTATAAGTTGATTAAGTCTATCGAACTCTCCCCCTACGATAATGGATTAATGTTATGTACCAACAGCAATTATCCTCTTTGGTGTTCCTACAAACCTCCTTTTAAACATTACTATGTATAATTTACATCCCCTTACCTGCAACTGAATTAAATTTCAAACCTCCCTTTCAGCATCACGTAACATCCAAACGAATCCCATGAAAAATAGAAACATCTCATCATTGTTGTACAAAGAAACAAGAAAGAGACAGGATATAATTTCATAAAATGGAATTAAACAAGCGAATGAATTTTTGTTGACGATTGTTTTTTCTCATAAAAAAAAGTCAGGACTGAAAACATTTTAATCTGCAGTAGAGATGCATTGAGTCACTTGACGAATAAATTACTTTCTCGTGTAGAACAGAAAAAAAAATCCTAGCAATTTGCAATGCAGTCATTTTTGTAAGGAATTATGTAATGTCTATGGAAATATGGGACAATTGGGACTGTTTGAAAGGGAAATTGTCATAGGAAATTTTTTGAATTCAAATTTAATTTGATCTTCTTATTTTTGACATATTATGCTGTAGATTCAATAAAAATTCAACCCCTCTAAGCAATTTGTGCCTTTTTTTTTCTCTCGCAATGACATTATTTAATTGAAGCATTTATCTATTTGCTGTGAATTTTTTGATGACTAATCGAATTTTTTTCTCTTTCATTCTTTCTCGTTCATAGGTCAAAATTTGGGTAAGTGCTTAATATATAGTCTATTTTTATTGGAATCATATACAGCTGTTTGCTAAGAGTCTGTGACTAGATGAGCAACCTTACTAATGCCTGAGACGAGTCCATTCTAGCTTTAAGAAACTGCTTTCGTGACCTTACTAAGTTCTGTAAACTCAAGTAACTCGTCCTTGCGTTTTGAAGTTCTCTTGTTCAGAAGCAAATCTTAGCCAACTTCACAGCTTACAACTTAACCAAAAAATATTAATTTTATTATTAATTCAAATATTACTTCCATTTTCATTTATAGTTCCAGAACCGAAGGACGAAATGTAAGCATTTAAATTTATTTTTTCATTAATCCACAACTCAACAGCAACTTTAAATATTTCACAGGGAAAAAACAAGAAAACATAACGAACGCTGAAGCCAGCGAGCACAAGACCACTGGACCGAAAGGATCTGAATCAAGTAATTCACCCGAAATCCCTAAATCAGGAACAAAATCAATTACAGCTGAACTGAATGCAAAAATAACCGCAAAGCAAAATTCACGACAAAAACAACAGCAACAACCGCCGTATATTTATGCGAATGGTACAAAAAGCATCAGGAGTATGGATCCGCCAAAATTAAAGCACGTACTAGATCATAAGCCAAGTAGAAATTTTCTTCTGAACCACAGCGACATCCATAGAGATAATTATTCAGATACGAAGTGTACGCTAAGTCACAGTGATGTCGAAAGTCATTTGTCAAGCTCTAGAATACCGATAAATGATTTTAAGTCTAAGACTACAGCAACACCAGTTACCTTAAATCTTAAAAAGAATTATCTCTGAAAGCGAATCAAGTTTCATAAATTAAGAAAGAAGGAAGTCATTTTAGAGAATTTTGAATTAAAATTAAAAGACAATCCGAACCTTTAAAAAGAGAAATTAGATATTGCATTTAAATAAAAGTATACGAATTTTAGGACTAAAGAGAGTGAATAGTCTCATAAATTAGCGCAACTACTAGTGGGCACTTTTTGGAGTTGATTCTTAGTCAAAAATATAGAAAGTCAATTCTTAGTAATTATTTGTGCAATAAGAATCAATTTAAAATGTTCTATTGATCATAACTTCAACAATGATTCACTCTAAAGTCAAGTAAGACTTCGATTTCAAATTTAAACATTATTTAAAATCATTTGTGACACAATTCCTAAAGTTCCCACACAAAAAAGCGCTAGAAACTACAGATATACGACTTTATCTTAATTGATTAAGAATATCCTATAAGTTGATTTTGTTTTTTTACAAAAACTTGAATGTCATTTAATGAATTTATGAGTCAAAAGTAATGTTAGTAATTGTAAGTCTTTAATTTGCTGATTTAAAAGAAATAATCAATTAATGAGTAATACTGAGGATAAAGTTTTTTTGTATACGAAATGAAAAAATGCAATTGGCATGACTGTAATAAATAAAAGTACGAAAAAAATATAAAATAAAAAAATAATTAAACTTTTCTTAATTGTGTGGAAAATTAAAAAAAATAATTTGTGTGAGAAATTGTTACAGTTTTTGTTGAGGATGTTCGAGATGGATTTAACGGATTTATGGTGACTGGAACTGAATGAATGTTGATGATTCTACTGGGATGGATTGTTGAGATAAAGTCTAATGTTTACTATAGTGTAAAATCATGGATTTACTTCATTTCCTACCCTCGCCAATCCAGGATCCTTTTTGTATTCAAACTTCATCAAGAATGAACTCATTCAAGTGACTTATTACTCAAAAGTAAATACTTCCTCCCGTTTTTCATGACTAATTTATTTCCAATACAATAGTGCAATTAAAAAAAATTCATTTGAACTTAATTTTTACATAATATTTAATTGGATTATTTATTTTTGCGCATTACAAACAAGAATCAATTTTCATCGGCTTAAAAGCTGAATAAAGCGTATAGTACAGAAGCAAAAAGAAATATTTTTTCGTATTTGCATAATTAAGTCCTATTAAAATTCTTTTCTCAATGAAAATTGCATTAAAAATAATTTACTTCTTTCTCTTAAGATGCAATGCCGTTTTATAAATCGTTGAATATATTTTTAGAAAAGAAGCATGCACTTTCATATAATATCATACATTTTGATTCAAAAACAGCGTGTAATTTTGCATTAGATTGCTCTCATTTCATTGCTTCATATTCTTTATTTATTTTTAAGTGCACAGGGTTCATTGGCAAGAATGTATTTAAATATAACAAATTGTATCCGTTACGGTGATGATGATGATGACGATGATTTTGTATGAACAAATTGTGAGCACTTCCTTATTGCTTTCGATGTAAATCCTTTAAGGTAATTATTAAAAAAAAAATTAAAGCTACTTTGCAATCTGAATGTTTGTTGATTATTTGCATGTGCAGCTATTAGGTCAGGGATGGAAACTCTTAAGTTTTTGTGTTTCAAACGCTTCAAAGTTTCTTAACCATGCTGAAAATAAATTGCTGATTAATAATTTAAAGCAAGCTAATCCTTAATTACTGGTAATTTCAAGATCACGATAATATGATTCAAAAGCATAGAACAGCATTAATCGTAAAAAGTTACTAAGACGTCTTGTTTGGTCGAAAGTTTATAAAGGGACGTTCACTTATGACGTTTATCAAAAAAAAACTGATTTTTAAACCCCCCCTCCCCCCCTCTGTCACAAAAATTCTATAGAAAAAAAATTCCATTGTTTGAACTGTCACAAAATCCTAGACCCCCCCTAAATGTCGGGCGTCATAAGTGAACGGCCCCTAATTAAAAGGATTTTTTCAATATTTTAATCAATTTTCGAAAAGCTTCGAATTTGATACATCCAACGAAAAAGCTATGAATTTAATTCAATTTGAATTTGAATCATCGTTTCAAATGCTCAATTAAATCCTAAATATCATTAATTGTCAACCACAACCAACCCTGAGACAGCTTTCCTTAAAGAATAAACAACTTTGTACAGTGATTTTCCTTCAAATATGAAATAATATATTGTAGTGACTGAAAAGAGTAGAACCAATGTGATACATTTAATTATTTTTGTGTGTCACAGTTGTCTTTACTTTTCAAAAAAACATCAAAAGATGAAATCAAAATGGATGTGAAAATAAGTCGCACATAGCAATACACTTGATTTTGATTGATGTCTGAAACGGGGGAAAAAAAGAAATATTGGATGGACGAAAGGCAAATAATTTTTTACAGAATTAAGAGAGAAAAGGAAAAAGTGTGGCAAGTTGGATTTGAGGTGGTGTAAATTGGTTGGTTGGTGCGCTTTTAATTGTAATTTTGAGAAACTTAAATGCTTTGTTTGGTTAAATTTTATTTGATGTTCTTTAATGTTAAAACTTATCTTGTAAGCAACTAAAATGCATGATGCAAATCAACAATTGGGCCAGAAAAGAGCAAGTGGACTTCATTATAGGAGCAATTCACTGCGTTTATCTCTTATACTAAAGATTAAAGGATTCATTCCGGTCAAAACGAATCAAAACTAATTGAGAATGTAGTAAATAACCAAATAGCTTTCAATTGAAGCCAAACAAATGAGAAATGTGTTGTCAAACAGGACAATTACAAGTTTAAAGCCATCAGTATGTTAGAATTGATTCTGAACAGGATAAAAGCTTGCCAAATCTTCCTTAAGTCACAATTTGGCTTTGTTTTCAAAACTTTATCTTGAATTTTCTTCAAATGCTTTGAACTTGATTTGAATTCATGAACTGTCATGAACATTGAAGTGATAACGCTTCAGATCACTACATTCCTTTAATCTTACAAACATCTAAATCCTTCGAATTACAATTTTTACCCAAAGTATTGCTACAATACAGCACAGACATTTTAGTCACAGAATATCAAAGAACTCAGAACAGTCGCGCAAAACAATTATCAAGTCAATTAGTAAATTGACAATGAAGGAATTTAAAAGAGACATTTTTATTAACCAAAGTGAATCCACGAAGCATTTTTATAAGAACATGTTGAAAATTTTAAGAATTCTTAAATTTGTAATAAAATATTTGAAAACATTTTTCACATCGTTTCACTTAAAAGCCTGAAATAAAATGTTTATATTATTAATAGCTCAAAAAAAAAAGAGGAGAGAAAATGATATTTTCTTACTCTTTAACTAATTAAAACTTTAATCTTTTTGAGTTATTCGAGTGCATTAACTATGAGACATATGAAAATATTCATGAAAAATTTCATTAAAGGTTTCGCTTAATTTAACAAGATTTTGCGTTTATAAATTAATTTTCTTTATCTAGAGGATTGAGTCACAGACAAGACGAAAAATTACCGCATGACAAGAGGAAAAATTCTTTTTCTCACTCAGACGACTTCCAGTAATTTTTCTAAAAGAAAATGTTTTACGTATGTGACAATAAAAATCGTTGAGAGTATAATTTATAGTTGTAGGAGACAAATTAAGTAATGAGCGGAGGTATTAAAATGTTATAAATAATAATCTTTCTAGATAAACAACACAAAAACCGAGATGAATTTATGATATGATGCTGCTTTTCTACGCACAGGAAAAAAATATTGGAAAATGAAAAATTGAAAATGAGATGATCGGCGGTTGTAGGAAAATGCGACTGAAGCTGTAAAAATTGAAAAATCTATTTTCAAAACTATTAAATGGGATTATTTTCTCGTTCAAACATCAATCAATTCAAGGTATTTTGTCTTTTAGCTCTCATTTGTGTGATCTGATGTATTGAGCTTATTGTTTGTTTCAGTTTGTTCATTTTGTCGACTTTTAAAGCTGATGGAATTGATGATTGTAGTTTTTGATAATTTATTATATATCTAAAATTTAAATTTGATTTTTCTTTGTTCAAGTTTCAATCTCGATAAAGTCAAAATTCGACAATTCTATGAACAAAATCAGAATTGAAATCTTATTCAGGATTAAAAACTGCATTACTGCTTAATAGATAGTATGTCAGAGTCAATTGCAAAAAAGCAGACACAATTAAAAGCTTATTACGAATAATTTTGTAAATCATTAATTAAATTATCAATAAAACGATATTTCCTGCTGTATTTAAATGCGCACTGTGCTAATCGATCACGAATGACAAATGTTCTGAATAGTCTATATTTCCTTCATCATTTAAACGTCTAAATATGTGTTCACGATGAAAAAGAAATCGTAAAATTAAAATTTGACAAAAATCTACACAAGAATTAACAGCAACAAGAGTCTTTTTCTTTTCTTTTCCCTTTGATCTCCATGAAGAATATATTTTGGCAGTTTGTATAAATTTGTGTTCAGGAATTGATTTACTATCACAGTTGATGCATTATGTGTATTTTGAAAATTTAATGTAAATAGCTCTCGAGTTAAAATAAGTTTTGGGGATCTTAATGATAAATAATTTATTTATGTGTGGATATATTAAGTTTTACGATAATTTCAACTACCTACATAATAAATCATGAGGAAATTCACATTATAATTGATGTAAATTTATTGCTGCATGACACTACATACACACACACACACACAATATGTATGGCATAAATATTTATACATTAATACATGGGTACATTTGCGAAATTATTTATAGCATTCGAAAATTTTCAGCATAGATTTGCACATTTTAATTAATTACTTCTAGCATATACATTGCTTTATAGGATGCAATAATGGCTTGAAGAGTACAGACAGACAATTGCAACAATCTAGATAAGGCAAGCAGTTATACATGAATGTATGATAAGAAGATTAATAGTAACAATTGTATAACAAGAAGTCATTCGTAAATAATTATGATTCCGCAATAATAGCAATCAATTATTAAATTGCTATGTTGTGCTTTTAAATATACCTCCCCTGCCTCTATCTCTCGCTCTCTTCTTGTTTTGCGTGTACAATATTATAGGACATGCTACACATTCAATGAATCTCTACATTTACTATTTAAATTGAATGTGTGGCAATTATTACTCATAAATAGCTTTAGCGTTTGAGAACTAAGCGCTGTTTTTAACCGATTTTTATGATTTGAATTTGTTCAATAAAATTTGAATTTGAAACTCGTAAAGAATTTAAAAAAAAAAATTCGTTATAATTTTAACAAAAATTAAATAATATTGCTTGATAAATAGTCAATTAATTTATGCCTGTTAAACCACCCGCAAAATGATTATCATCGAGAATTTTCTCGATAAAAACGTGCATAAAAAAATAAATTCAATTATCATTGAAAATTAACATACATTAACCGTTGAAACTATATACTCCAACCCAACACATGCATCATTAATTATAAGATTTTTTTTTTCATTCAATAATTACTCATTAATTCAACATAATTGAATGTTTTTCAATTTTTAATTTGGTCAATTAATGAACGCGGTTGGTTTATTGAGCTTTTCTTTTTAATTATTTTCCTCAATTTTTTTTATTGATTAATAATAAACTGAGAGTCATTTAATAAGCGTTGAGGATCAAGGAAGAGGTAGTTTTTACATTAAACTGTAAAGCATTTAATTGCAGGAGCCAAAAGTAGTCGAGGATGCGATTTTCTTTAAATATTTTTGTACATGAGTTGATCCTGACATTTTTCATCGATTTAAACGTTGTTTTGCCTCAATAAGCATTAGCATTTATGATGCTGTAATAGCTTAATTGAGCAAAAGATTAAGATTCACATATAACTTACTGTCACATATTTAATATTGATATTTTTCTAGGATTTAGATGCTTTAGTCCATAACGAGTAATATTGTTGTGCCTCGATGTTTTTTAAGGATTTTTGCTTAACGGAAAAAAATAATTTGAATTTTTCACTAACACTATCATACAAAACATCAAAAATTATATTCTCAAAATTCTTAATTATCTAACCATTAATCCCAAATCATATGATTTGAATACGAATAGTAGATGATGCATTAGCTGTTCCGACTATTTTAAGACCTTTTACATCATTATTGAGTGATATTTTTGTGACTTTTCAAATTTCATTTTAGATTTTGTTTGTAAACAAATAAATTACAGCAGAAAAAATCCAAAAACTTTAAAAACGTTAAAAATTTTTTAACTTAATTTTGTCCATTTGGGTATGTTAATGCAGCAATTTTAAATTTTTATATTCACACCGTTTTCACGTGTGAATCTATTGGTTTTGTTCAGATTGAAAAATCAGTTTTTTGAATTTTGTGAGGATATGGAGCAAGATAGCTTAAAAGGTTCAGAGATGAAAAGTTTGTGCCATGAATTTCACCTCTTTTGCAAAAAACAGATTTCAAATTGGTTGAGGCATTGCTGAGAAAATCGCAAAATATGCTTTCTGTAAGCAAGAAAACAAGCAAACAAGCAAGTTAATCAGCAAGAAATCTCAATAACGAGACATTGTAGAGACTTCTAGAATTTTTCAAATTAAAAGTTCACTGTGATTTCTTTTTAAATTAAACTTTGGATGAAAAAAATTTTTTTGAGCAAAGAACCAAGAAGGAAATACATTTTCAATTTTGGACTAGGGACGACCCTAGTCAAAATCAATTTTGTCACTTTTTTCTTCGAGGGTTTATCCAAATGGATTGAAACTTTGCATAAATATTTTAGTGCTTAAAACAAATACAAATAAAACATCCTAAAATTTTTTTGAGCAAAGAACCAAGTAGAAAATCAATTTTCAATTTTGACTAGGGTCGCCCCTAGTCCAAAATTGAAAATGTATTTCCTACTTGGTTCTTTGCTCAAAACAATTTGTAGATGTTTAATTTGTATTTTGTTTGAACACTAGAATATTTTTGCAAAGTTTCAATCCATTTGTATAAACCCTCGAAGAAAAAAGGGACAAAATTGATTTTGACTAGGATCGCCTCTAGTCCAAAATTGAAAATTGATTTTCTACTTGGTTCTTTGCTCTAAAAAATTTTAAGATGTTTTATTTGTGTTTGTTTTAAGCACTAGAATATTTATGCAAAGATTCAATCTATTTGGATAAACCCTCAAAGAAAAAAGTGACAAAATTGATTTTGACAAGGGTCGCCCCTAGTCCAAAATTGAAAATTGATTTTCTATTTGGTTCTTTGCTCAAAAAATTTTTAGGATGTTTTATTCGTATTTGTTTTAAGCACTAAAATATTTTTGCAAAGTTTCAATCCATTTGGATAAACCCTCGAAGAAAAAAGTGACAAAATTGATTTTGACTAGGGTCGCCCCTAGTCCAAAATTGAAAATGTATTTCCTACTTGGTTCTTTGCTCAAAAAATTTTTAAGGATGTTTTATTTGTATTTGTTTTAAGCACTAGAATATTTATGCAAAGTTTCAATCCATTTGGATAAACCCTCGAAGAAAAAAGTGACAAAATTTATTTTGACTAGGGTCGCCCCTAGTCCAAAATTGAAAATGTATTTCCTACTTGGTTTTTTGCTTAAAAAATTTTAAGATGTTTTATTTGTATTTGTTTTAAGCACTAGAATATTAATGCAAAGTTTCAATCCATCTGGATAAACCCTCGAAGAAAAAAGTGACAAAATTGATTTTGACTAGGTCGCCCCTAGTCCAAAATTGAAAATGTATTTCCTACTTGGTTCTTTGCTCAAAAAAATTTTAGGATATTTTAAATGTATTTGTTTTAAGCACTAAAATATTGATGCAAAGTTTCAATCCATTTGGATAAACCCTCGAAGAAAAAAGTGACAAAATTGATTTTGACTAGACCTGTCTCTAGTCCAAAATTGAAAATGTATTTCCTACTTGGTTCTTTGCTCAAAAAAATTTTAGGACGTTTTATTTGTATTTGTTTTAAGCACTAACATATTTATGCAAAGTTTCATCCATTTGGATAAACCCTCGAAGAAAAAAGTGACAAAATTTATTTTGACTAGGGTCGCCCCTAGTCCAAAATTGAAAATGTATTTCCTACTTGGTTTTTTGCTTAAAAAATTTTAAGATGTTTTATTTGTATTTGTTTTAAGCACTTAAATATTTATGCAAAGTGTCAATCCATCTGGATAAACCCTCGAAGAAAAAAGTGACAAAATTGATTTTGACTAGGTCGCCCCTAGTCCAAAATTAAAAATGTATTTCCTACTTGGTTCTTTGCTTAAAAAATTTTAAGATGTTTTATTTGTATTTGTTTTAAGCACTTGAATATTTATGCAAAGTTTCAATCCATCTGGATAAACCCTCGAAGAAAAAAGTGACAAAATTGATTTTGACTAGGTCGCCCCTAGTCCAAAATTGAAAATGTATTTCCTACTTGGTTCTATGCTCAAAAAAATTTTAAGATGTTTTATTTGTATTTGTTTTAAGCACTAGAATATTTATGCAAAGTTTCAATCCATTTGTATAAACCCTCGAAGAAAAAAGTGACAAAATTTGTTTTGACTAGGGTCGCCCCTAGTCCAAAATTGAAAATGTATTTCCTACTTGGTTCTTCGCTCAAAAAAACTTTAGGATGTTTTATTTGTATTTGTTTTAAGCACTAGAATATTTATGCAAAGTTTCAATCCATTTGTATAAACCCTCGAAGAAAAAAGTGACAAAATTTGTTTTGACTAGGGTCGCCCCTAGTCCAAAATTGAAAATGTATTTCCTACTTGGTTCTTTGCTCAAAAAAATGTTTTGGATGTTTTATTTGAATTGACATAATTCTGACATAAATCACATACCAATATTACTTTTTGTAATGCATAGCTTAAAAAAAATCGAAATCTAAAATTTCGACTACCCCATCTAAATTTTGTTCATACTCTTCACTGTGGAAACCAAAAAACAAATTCTTTATCTTAAAACACTTGACAAAATAGCGACATAATTCAGGATTAATTAATTTTTAATAATATTTTTACATTTACGAGAAAATGTGGTTCAAATAAGTGTGAAGTATGGCCGAGATTTGGACCAAAATCAGCTATACTGGTTCATAGTGTTCCCGAGGGTCACAAAATTCAAACTAAGTGTTTTTGTAGCTGACATAATTATAATTTGGCGCATTGGGTTTCTACCCGATACACTAGTTTATAAACTCAAAAAAGAACAAAATTGATTTTCGGATCTAAAAAAATACATTTGGTCATATATCAATAAACAATAATGAAGATATAGCAAAATTCCCAAAAATTGTACGTGAGTGAACGCTTAGTTAAAGTGATTTTTTCGAGTAACTGTAAACTTTCAAGTAGTAAATTGTACAACAATAGATGGGGATTTCAATTCCCTTTTCAAAAAAGTAACTCTTAAATTTATCACTTTTAAGGATAAGGAGATAATCAAGAATAACAAAGCGTCACTCACGTACAATTTTTTTGTGACGAGACCCTGTTTATTCTTCATATCTGAAGTTAATTAAAGTCAATACAGCATTTAAATTGCCTTAAAATTACTACATAGTATAATAACGACAAAAAATTCAAATGTTCCCGCACTTTTTTTACTCAACCGTTATAATTCAAAATTTTTACGTAACACTGTCATAATTTTACGTAGAGCACACTCAAAACTGTTATATAGCAAGTCATCTTAACACAAAGTTTCCATTCTTAAATTTATTTCGAGTTTTAACGCGTTAATTAATTAAATACTGTGAAAATGCCTGCTGAAAACTTGGAAGAACAAGGATTAGAGAAGAATCCAAAATTGGAACTTGCCCAATTCAAGTTCCTGCTCACATTAAAAGAGAATTTGAACAATGAAGAATTAAAAACAAAGTTGATGGATGAAATTAAGGCTGAGAATATGGCAATGTTCTATGAAGAAACTTGTACTGAGCTTGGATGGACTGTTGATCAACAGCTATTGTCTGAGATGAGGGCAGTAAATGCTAAAAAGATTGAGGAATTAGATGCAGTAATTGAGGATGCCGAAAAGAATTTAGGTGAAATGGAAGTTCGCGAGGTAAGTAATTAATGGATAATTTTTATTTACTGGATCTAAATGGAACTTAATTTTTAAGGCAAATCTTAAGAAATCTGAATACCTGTGTCGCATTGGTGATAAAAATGGATCAATTTCGAGTTTCAGAAAGACATACGAGAAGACAGTGAGTCTTGGACATCGTTTAGACATAATTTTCCATAATATTCGCATAGGATTGTTCTATTTGGATCACGATTTGATCACTAGAAATATAGAGAAAGCAAAAACATTAATTGAGGAGGGAGGAGATTGGGATAGACGTAATCGTCTGAAAGTATATCAAGGAGTTTATTCTGTTGCTATTCGTGACTTTAAATCAGCTGCTCAATTCTTCCTCGATACAGTCAGCACATTCACAAGCTATGAATTGATGGATTATCCAACGTTTGTTCGTTATACTGTCTATGTTGCAATGATCAGTTTACCGAGAAATGAATTAAGAGACAAGGTGATAAAAGGTGCGGAAATACAGGAAATCCTTCATCAACTTCCTGAAGTTAAGGAATATCTCTTCTCGCTTTATAATTGTCATTATGCTGATTTTTTTATTAATCTTGTAAAAGTTGAAGGATACTTAAGAGCTGACTTTATGGCTAATCCTCATTATCGTTTTTACGTTCGTGAAATGAGAATTCTCGCATATACACAACTTTTGGAATCTTATCGTTCCTTAACGCTTACTTATATGGCTGAAGCATTTGGTGTTTCTATAAATTATATTGATGCTGAACTTTCACGATTCATTGCTGCTGGTCGTTTGCATTGCAAAATCGATCGAGTTGGTGGAATTGTCGAAACAAATAGACCAGACAGTAAAAATTATCAATATCAATCCACAATCAAACAAGGAGATTTGCTATTGAATCGTATTCAAAAACTCAGTCGTGTAATCAACATTTAAGTATGCTTACTGGAGATTTATGCGTCTTTTTGTATTTCATTAATAATCATAAAGAAAAATAATAAAATGTACGAAAATTAACAAAAATTAATTGGTTTTTTACTGTATCTTCTGGATTTGAACTTGGTAAAGTTTTATTTTAAATTCTGCAAAATCGTTTATTTCAGGAGTTTTTATACAAAATACAAATTGAACTCATTATCCAATAAGCTAAGTTCTTTTGTCCTTAACTGTGTATATATCATAAGATTTCGATGGATCATAAGGCTCCCATCGGCTTGCTGGGAATATGTGCTTATTCCTTTCGTACCATGATCGCAAAACAACTTTTCCAGCATGTGATTCCTCTTTTTCAACTGAAGCATCATTAACCATTCGAATATCGTCCTTAACATCAAATTGAAACAATGGACCTGATTTTCCTCTTGCCTTTTTTACTATAAAGTCATAAAATGTATAATGATATGGTAAAATTAAGTCTTCCTTAATGTACATCAACTGATCATTTGTGACCTTCCTTAGTTCTGAAATTTCGTGCCTTAAATGCTTCTCAAGACATGCTTGAAGGAACTCAGTAATTGTGTTACCTTTCTCCATACTTATTGAGAATCTATGTCCACTTCCGTCATAATATGAATATACTACATCTATTTTCTCATTTTTAATGATATTCTGTTGCTCGGTCCATTGCTTCTTCAGTTCCTCTTTTAATTTATTCTCAATATCGTCACGTTCGCGATCTTTTAAGAAACTGGTGTCTACAGCTGGATTCTTCTTAATCCTCTTTTTAGGTGGATCAACAGCTTGAAAATTGTCAGAATTAAGCTCCTCATTCTCATCATCAACATCAAATGACAATTTTTGGATCTGCTTTTGTTGCTTAAACTTTTTCTGACTTTTTCCTCTTAAATCTTCCTCTTCTTGCTTTTTAAGCAGTTCCTTAGTTCTTTCTTGTTCCTGCTTTGCCTTCAATTCTAAAAGTGTGAACAGTCCAAAGGACTTTTTGCCAAATTCAGTTGCTGGATGTTCAATTGAGGTTGCAAATTTGCTGTCTATGCTTTGAATTTTCATTTGTTCTTGAATTTTTTTCTTTTGAAGCTCTGCATCTTGTTGTTGCTTTTCTCGTTTCTTTGCTAGTTGTACGGCTCTATCTGCCTCGCTTTTTGTGCCTTTATATTGAGCCATTAAAACTTAAATTGATTTGTTATTTTCTTTGTTTACTTTTACATTCAAATTTTACAAAACCGTTACAACTGTCTCAAAACTATGAATTTTTGAATTTTACAAAACCGTTTAAAAGTAAATTATTTAATTCCACTACTGTTAATAAAAGTGGGAAAAAATTTAAATCTCCCGCAATATAGTAAAGCTTGTTTTTAATAATTATCATCTTTCTTACCTTTCAGATTGTCCATAAAATAATAATTTATTAATTTATTGGTTTATGATTATGATTGTCAATGATACTTGCTATTATATCGTTATTTAAAGAATTTGAAGCACTTCGATCATCATATCACAAAAGCGCTTAATAAACCACCTTTCCAATAATATGCAGTAACTTATTAAGTAGGAATTAGACACAATGTTTATGCTGCTATTTTTTGGAATCATTGGATTTGCTATTGGACGTGTAATTACACTATGTATCTCATCATTCTTTCATCAAAGAAACTATCTCAATGAAGCTTGTGCTAATACAATGATAATATTAGGATCCGGTGGTGAGTTTTGATTACTTCCGACACATTCTTAAAATCTTAAAAATATTTTTTTTATTTCAGGTCACACAACAGAAATGCTGGAAATAGTCAAAAAATTGAATAAAGACAAATATGTACCAAGGTTCTATGTTGTGTCTGAGAATGATCAGAATTCGGTTGATAAGCTATTAAGCATAGAAAATGATAAAAGTGAATACAAGATTTATGTGATCACAAGAAGCCGGAAAGTCCATCAAAGCTACTTCTCATCAATATTTACTACATTAAAATCATTCATAGATTGTATCCCATTACTTCATCACAGCAGACCTAACTTAATTCTCTGCAATGGACCTGGAATTTGTGTCCCCGTTTGCATTGTTGCTTATCTCTTAAAAGTCTTTTACATCAATTCAGCATGTCGCATTGTCTTTATTGAAAGCTACTGTAGAGTTAAGACATTATCATTATCTGGCTGGATTTTATTGTACATGACTGATCTTTTTGTTGTACAATGGCCAGAACTAGCTAAGAAAGTATCTAGGAAAGTAATGTATTTCGGTCGGTTAACATAATCAATTCACTTTTTATTAAATCCTTAAAAATTCTTTATTCTGATGACATGACAACTGAATAAAGTTCATTATCTTCTCCATTAGTTCCGTCCATGTCTGTTTCAATTATATATTCCTCAATTTCTACATCCATTTCAGGATGAACTGACTTTATGTGATCTTTAAGGGCAAAAGAACGAGCATACTGAGCACCACAGATCTTGCATGCTAACTTTAAGTTTGAGTCTTGATTATTATGCGTTTCCATGTGATTCTTTACAGCATAAAGTGACGAGAATGGACGCTTACAGATCTGACACGAAAATGGTTTGGTGTGTGTATTTTTATGTCCAGCTAGTTGAACTGATGTCTTGAAAGTCTTTGGACAGAATGGACATTGGAATTTCCTTTCATCTGAGTGTGTATTGATGTGATGATTATAGACACTTTGTGCCTTGAAACGCTTATTACATCCTGGAAATGTGCAGATATAAGGTCTGTCGTCTGAATGGACATTCCTTTTGTGCAGCGATAGGCAATAAGTCACTCGAAACTGCTTGCCACAGAGCTATAAATATAAATTTTATTATTTCTTGATACATTCAAGTTTTATGAACCCACTTACATCACATGTATACGGCTTGACTCCGCTGTGGATACGCTGTAAATTAATAAATTTTAGATTTATTAACAGGAACAAATCATCAAACTTACCTCATGCTTAACTTTCTCGTGTGGTCTCTTAAAGATCTTTCCACAATATTGGCATGGATGAACACCTTTCTGTGGTGTTGCTGTCTTTTTGGGTACATAAGACTTTGAAGTGCTTGGGCTGTTTTCATCGTGTGCTTGAACATGTAAATCAAACTCTAATTTGTTGCTGAATGACTTGTTGCATATTTGGCAATTAATAATGTCAGTTGTTTGCTTTCCAAAGAGTTTTTCCTTACTTTGAGCTTCTGCTACATTTTTGTGGATCGAAAGATGCAAGAGCAAGCTCTTCCTCGAGTTGAAATCAGCATTACAGTGCTTGCAACGAAAAATTGTCCCGTCAGTTCCTTCAAGCTCCATATATTCATTATGTTTAAACTCAACCTTGACATTCTGATCTAATTCACTAAAATCCTCAACCATTAAGCTGTTGTGAGTCTTTAGATGGCTGACAAATCGTTTGTAGACTTTAAATGACTTCTGGCACTCATTACATTCGAACTTGCCATCTTCATTCTTGACAATTGGTGCTAAATTAATTTCATTGTCTGTTTCATCATCCAGTTCCTCTAAAACTAACTCTTCATCCTCAGTTTGATGCTCAATATTCTCATTTATGTCATGATACTTTTGTAGATGTTCATTAACATCCGTAAAACTAAAATTACAGGAACTGCACTGATATATTTGCTGATCATTAACAATTTCGTCTTCGTCTAATTCAACTTTCTCAATTATATCTGATTCACAATCGTACAATTCCTCTATAATGACTAAAATTGAATAATTAGCTAACAAGCTACAATGTTTACATGTCATCGACTTACCTTGACTATCCGTTTCCATTATTTTTAATGTTATATTACTAACTTCATTAATTTTAAAAATCAAACTTCACTTCTTACAGGATCAAGTTTGTAAGGATATAAGGATGGAATGGCACTGAACGCACAAATTTTGATCATCCGTTATACCTTCAAAGTCAAAATTTCCGTTAAATCTAATCTGTTCAGTCGAATTTCTTTTAACATATTCTTCAACTATTATTCATTAAATTACGAGTTATAATCTCTGGACCTTACAACTGACAAACAGACAATTTAAAAGCAGAAGCTTAATTTCTTATGATTCCGTTACACGAGGGGCGTGCTTGCATTGCGATAGACAGTCGGTTAAATAAAATAATTAAAACATGTTTATTTTTGTGACAGTTTGTAAACAAAAAGCAGCGTGATCCATTAAAGATTAAAAGAATTAAGAAATCAATGGATTCCGACGAGAAAGGTTTGTTATAATTATCTCAAATACCATAAACACTATACTTGACATTGCACAAAATCAAATTATTCCAGATTCTATCAAAAACGAGAGTATTGAAGAAGAATTGGAACCAGTCAGGAAGAAAAAGAAAATCAGCAGAGAGGATGATCATGAATATACAGTTTTCATTAAGAATTTATCATTCGATTCAACAAATGAGGACTTAAAAGAGTGTTTCAAGAAGTTTGGTAATGTAAATTATGCATTAATTGTTCGTGACAATGTTTCTGGTCATTCGAGAGGAACTGGATTTGTACAATTCGAGAAAAAGGAATCTGTTGAGATATGTCTTAATCAGGCAGGCAAAATTGTTCTACAGGACTTTACACTTGATTTAATGCCAGCACTCCCAAAAACAAAAGTTAAGGCAATTGAGAAGGAAAAGGAAGCAAAGAAAAATGAACCAAAGGATGGTCGAAATCTTTATCTATTACGTGAAGGTATGATTATGGCTGGTTCCACTGCATCTGAAGGTGTTTCAGCAACAGACATGGCTAAAAGACTTCGTCTAGAACAACTCAAATCATCTATGCTGAAAAACTTGACTCGATTCATTTCTCGCGAGCGTTTAACAATCCACAACTTGCCTGACAGCTATGACGATGTTAAATTACGAAAAATGGTCGTATCCAAAACTGGTTCAAAGGTATAATTTAATTAAATACACTGTCATGTTATGTTTAATTTATTACTTTTATATATGTTCTCAATAACAGCCAATCGAAAGTCGCGTGATGCGCGAAAATAAACCAACGCCGACACATCCGAAAGGCAAGTCAAAAGGGTTTGGGTTTTTATCATTTTCACGTCACGAAGATGCGTTGGCTGTACTGAGAAAGCTTAATAATAATCCAGATATATTTAGTGCAAATCATCGACCAATTGTCAGCTTTAGCATAGAAGATATGAATGTATTGAAGATTAAGGAACGCAGAGAAATTCGTTCTAAGCTCAACAATCCCACATATCAAGAAAAGTTGAAGACTAAAAAGCTCAAGAGGAAAGAAAATCGAAAGAATAAATTGGACAAAAAAACAGTCGTGAGTGAAATCCGTAAAAAAACACCTAAACAAGTGGGAGAGAATGAAGATGCTTATTCAGGATTTGCATCCAAAAAAGGCAATGTCCCAAAACTTCGAGGAACATTCAAGCTGAGAGAGCAGTCAAAAATTCATGAAAAATCAATGAAGACACAAAATAAGCTTGCACGACGACAAAAGCACGAACTGGAAGTTCAACAAGAAAGGCAGGAGACAAAATTTGACAGAGTTAATAAAAAGAAAAGGATTAGTGATAAGGATTCATTAGTTGCTAAAATTAATAAGTATAAAGATTTGTTAAAAGGAAATAATGATGAGAGTAGTAAGAAGCAAAAGAGCAAAAAGTGGTATGTAGAATAAAATTTTAATAAAGATATTGAATTACCCAAATTACCGATTCATTTTTTACACAAAAAAACACGGTTGAATTTTTAAATAAAATGTTTCGAAACCTTACAAAAGCAACAAAAAGAATTGTATGGTTCTAAATTAAAATTTATAACGGAATTTTGAGATTCAAAATTATTTTCGCGCAAAGAAATTGCTATAAAATTTTTCAGTCTGTTTTGAAACTTCAAACAGTAAGGTCATGGATTTAAAAGGTGAGACAATAGTATGATAATATTATTAAATTACTTAATCTACAGCAATTTGTGGTGTACTTTACTCACCAAAATATTCGATTTGATAAGATTTCTTCCTTTTTTCTTCGGTTTAAAATGTTTAAAAAACATGTTATTTTACAAAATTATTTCAGAAAACATTAATTGAAATCAAAGATTACTGCAATTAGAATAGGTAAACTAATCGTATTGATGGAAAAATCAATTATAAAAATTAAGAGTTAATGCAATAATTTACGAAATCGATATAAAAAATGGCTTTTGGGCAATTCCACGAATGTAATTTTCCAAAAATTTTGACTTTAAATTAATTTTTCTCAAGAATGAGATATCTAGACAATCCAACAACAGGATATAAGTGTGTAAATCGATGAATTCTTCTTAAATATCTTTATTTCTTGTTTGCACAAGCTTTAATTACGAAATATTTGGATTTTTGTGACGATCGCCCTATTTCAAAAAGTGGAATTCTGATTTTTTAAGCAAGCATTTTACACTTTTCAGGCATCTAGACAACTATTCATTGTCATTATAATGTGCATTATGTCATCCTTTATGACCGCGTTCACTTAAATGAACTTAAAACTCAGTCATTTAGTAGAAAAATGAAAAATTGTAAATCAATAATTGAAATAGGGCGACCTGAAAGCGATTATTTTCCTAATCCGTGAGAAAATATTTTTTGAAAAAGCAAAATCTACTGTTATTAACAACCAGTTCACTGATCGGAATGCGTTTTACATAAATATAGAATAGAAGCTAATACTAAGTTATTAAAACATTTAAAAAAATTTGAACCATCAAGTTCGAAAAGAATTACAACCCATTTTTGATAAATTCCACTCATCCGTAGAATTGCCCTTTTTAATTTTTTTTAAAAAAAAGTATTAAACGATTCTTTGAACAACATCATCATTCAAACAATAAGGGGGCAAATCCGCAGAAAGTATGAACTGGGAAAAAGCGAGTTGTAATATTTTTCTACTTGTTTGAATTCAAAAAAATTAAATTCGTTAAAATTTCTTCATAAAAAATTATTATTCTGTTGCTTAAATTATTTTATCAATAAATTATTGCAGAAAAGTTTATAATTAAAGTTTAATATATGTGGATAGATGCCCTAATAGTAAGTTAAAATGAAATAATCAAATTAAGACTTTGTATTTGATGGCAATTCAACTTATTTTTAAGATGTCAAATGAGAGAGTTAAAAAATATTTAAATAAAATTCAAGAAGAAGGAAATAAAGCCTTACTTGCTGATTTTAAAATACGTAAAAGAGCAGCTGACAAGAAATGTCGAGAGAAGAAACTTTCTGGTCAGCAGTCTGAAGAATATAAACGGAAAAAATGAGCAGAATGCTGCGTATAGAGATAGAAAAAGTGCCAAAACATTTAAAGCAAGCGACGATGGCTTCAAATCCAAAAATGGCTTGAAGAAGGCTGTCAAGAGATTACAGAAGAACCTTCCTAAAACAAAACAAAAATCTATTAAAGCTGTGGAATCTTTAGCACAATCATTAGCTTTAGAGGTCGTTAATAAAAGCCAAAAAGTTGTCAAAAAAGATGAGAGTTTAAAAAGAAAGAAATCGGAATTGGAAAGTGAAAACTCAATCAATACAGCAGTGGAAAATTTCTATTTATCTGAAATTGCTTCTAGACAAATGCCAGGCAAAAAGGATAATATAGTCGTTAAATTGAACTCTGGAGAAAAGATTATTATTCAGAAGCGATTTATGATGATGACAGTAAACAAGGCATTTGAGCTTTTTCTTCGTGAATATCCAGATGCAACTAAAGGACGAACAAAATTTTATGAATTACGTCCAAAACAAGTTTTATTAATATACAAAACTTCCCCATGAGTTCTGTTGCTGTTTGTATTGCGAGAACTTCAATTTGTTGTTTGCAGCCTTAAAACCGTTTTTCATTTCTCCTATTAAAAAAGTGATGGTTTTGTTGAAAAGCTATGCTTCATGTGTAATTCACATGGACTATTCTGAGAACTTTAGTTCTACATCTCAATTTGAAGTGCAATCTGCATTCTTTCTTGCCAAGCAAATTTCAATAGTCGGTGCAATAGCATATTTGGGTAATAATAAATCATTCTCTTTCGCCATTATTAATGATGATGTAAGTCATTCCAAGGATCAAGTATATTATTACCAAAAAATTTTAATTGATGAAATTAAAAAGTTTAATCCAAATTTAAAAACCGTCAGCTTAGTCACGTACACATATTATCCAACATAATCCATTCGATGACAGATTTTGGAATGATTTTCAAATGGCACTTTACGCCAACATCACATGGAAAAAGTTCAGTTGATGGATTAGGAGGAATACTCAAGCGTCAAGTAATGCGAAGAATTTTAACGGATAAGTTTGAAGTAAATAATGCCAACATCACATGGAAAAAGTTCAGTTGATGGATTAGGAGGAATACTCAAGAGTCAAATAATGCGAAGAATTTTAACGGATAAGTTTGAAGTAAATAATGCTCAAACTATTGTGGAATGTGCTAGATCATTTACTGAAAACATCAAAATTATACTTGCGTCAGCAGATGATATGTCAGCATGTGTTAGCACAGTTAAAGCTCGATGAAACAATTTAAAGCCTCTGGATGGAATACAGAGGTGTCACTTTTTTGAAAGAATCAGTAATAACAAATTGATTGCTTCAGTTTCTTCTTTACGTGATGATACAAAAATTTTTAAAATTTAATTTATTAGTACTAGAAATATTCCATTTGTTCAGCACAGTTATATGTATGATAATGTATGAATTGTAGGGCTGAAAATTTTCCAACGTTTTCTAATATTTTAAATATTATTGTGTGTTTTGCAACACTGTATTTTCTTGAGTTTCGCTATAAAACGTTCTGCAGGATCGATTAACGCTATTTTCTGTTAATTACTTTAAATTGAGTACGTATACATAAGAAATGATGTCAGTTTATGATACAAAATTGCATTTCCAATGCAATAACTTGCAAGCCATATTGTTTAACTCGTTAAACTTGAATTTTTTTGGATTTTTCAAAATTAAATCTTCGTGCGCAGGATCGATTAACGCTATTAAATTCAAAATATCTCTTTAATTAAATGTTTTAATCTTGTGCTAAGTATCAAAAGTTGTTCATTTTTCAAAATTACGCATGATTTGGTATTAAAACATTACTTTAAAAGTCAAATAGGAGAGAAATTTGAGAAAAACAAAATTTTGAAGCGTTTAATTGCCCGCGGATTTGCCCAAGGGTTCAATAAGAGATTACACAATAATTCAGAATCGAAAAAAAAGTTCAAAAATTCAAAATAATCATATTAATTAAACTTTATCTTTCTAATACCAGAATAAAGATCTTAACTTGAGGCATATCCTATGAAAATATCTCGTCCCAATTTGATGTCTAACTCCAGAAACCTTCAATTTATTCTTACCAAAAATTTGTATGTATAAAAAAATTCTTTGTTTTTTCTTTGCTTTAGGTTATTGTTTGGATATCCTGCTAGCTGTTGAGGTTTGTTAAGGTGTGCCTGTTAGCTAAGTTAAGCTTAGATTTGCATATTAAAACCACGAAATCAACAGAAAAATGCTTATTAAGTCTTAAAAATTCAATTGAAATTTGAGTATTTTTACAAAACTTTAACTATTCATAAGTTAAAAAGTCTTCCAAAGTCTTCTCTGAAATCTATATATATATATATATATATATATATATATATATATATATATATATATATATATATGTATCAATTGCACAAGCTTAAATCTATCTCCCATACTAATATGGTCATGTCGTTTGATGCCGTTTTCGAGATATTTGCGTTCAAAGTTTACATAAATTTTCATACAAAATTTGGAGATTCACAATATTTTTGTATAATTTTTTACATACTTTTGCTTAAAAATCATGTTTATCCTTTATATTATGGACTGAGTTTTTGTGCAATTAATGAAAACATTATGTATCCTTAAAGCATCAAATCAAAAGAAATTAACAAAAACTTTCAATTTTCTAATGTGTCAGAAAAATATTGTGCACAAGGAATTTTTCAAATCTGAATCATTGTGGATTATCAATCGGAGAAAAATTGTAATTGTTCTACAAAAGCAAAGTAAAGACAAAAAGAAAAGCTTTAAATTGCAACAATTGAAAATACTTCATTTTATTATAATTTCAATTAATTCCATTATTTTACATTACATTACACGTTGTAGCGAAAATTTTTCATGGTGGTGAGTTTTGTATATTTTGAAAAAAGAAGAAGAGGAGATGAAAAATTTTCGCCACAAAGTTTTGATTCTGTTAGGAACGAATGCAGTCACATTAAGAAAATATATAAATGATTGCTGGGGTAAAACCAAAGAATTTCTTAAATCTTCTCAGTTCATCTTATTTACTCTCATAATCGCTGGATATTTTCTTAACTGTCTCATCAATGATTTGACTTAATGTATTTAAGACGACAATTTTCAAGTCCTTTTCCTGTTCAAAATTATCAGATTGTTGTAAATCCGGTCGGAATTGAAAGTGTCTTTGAAATGCCTTCATTGGAATAAGATTTCCTGTATGTTCTCCTTGAACATTCGATTCCATTTGTTGTATAGTGTCTGTCGCAGTCGGTGCCGTTAGTGATCGCTTGCCAAATCCTCCATAACATGAATGTCCAAAACTAGCACATCCCACTCCTAGCAACAAGAAATTATTCAATGATAATTCACAATAGTAGCACACTTAGTAAGTTTTCCATTAGTTCAAATAAGAATCTCAACACATCTTTATAACGTAGAAAAGAATAATAAAGGAATTTGTGGGGTTGAAATAATAAGGATAAACAAGCCAATTTATGATGATTTAAATCAATTTCGTCATCATTTAATGGACTTGTTTTTCCTGTATCACATACACAAATACACATGCACACACTAGATCAATTGCACAAACAATGACTTCCCATCTTTATTATTCTTATCATTATAAGTATCATGTGTGAAATATCCTTATTAGAAGCAATAGAAAAGCTAATAATAATAATGACTTGGAATATTTGTTAGAACAATGTTTGATTCTTGACGATCTTGAGTCTGTCTCTTACGTTTAGAATCGGCTTGAGTTACGACAAGGATAATGGCTATTATAACGATAAACATTGTCTTTTGGCTCATCTTTGTGCTCTTAATTGTGTCTACTGATTTTTAAATTCAGTTGAACCTGCAAATAAAATAAATAAAAATTGGAAATGACTTAATCAGATACAGTCTATGAATATATTTAGATGCTGATTGTGTGTTTTTTTCTTAATTCCCTATTCTGTGTATTATTATAGTCTGACCCATATGCTCATCTAATTATTTTTGAGTTCTACGACTTAACTGACTAGCTTTTTTAAGTTCAAACGTGGCAAAATAGGTAACTGATCTACTGAGTATTTTAAAAATTCACCAAATTCACTAAGTTGCAATTTTTCAATTCCATGGAAATTAAAATATATGATGCAATATCAGAACTTTCCACGTGTCTCTTGGATTTTTTGACTAGCTTTAATAAAATTATAAATAATAATTTACAGTCTAGTTTAAAAATAAAATGCCTGCAGACACGGATTTCTATTATTAGCTATCGTAATTTTTATGAATGAAATTTTCTAAACCAAGCAGTCAGTAATGCAAACATCCTGACACTTCCTACGATGGTTTAAAAATAATAATTTAGAGGAGGTTGATAATAGCAACAGATGATGGAACAGACATCCGAGATTTATTTTTTACTGATAGTTCTATGAAGGCTACAAATTTTTATAGGATAAAAGATTAGATAGAAATTGGATGTTCTTAAACAATGTTTGATCGTTTTAAATATTAATGAACGACCCCTATTTTGGACTTTTAAGAATCATAAAATCTTCTAAAATTTTTCGATTTATTTAAAAGTGTAAAAAAGTTTGATTAAGATTGGTTATGAGACATCCTGCTTAAAATCGTTGGTATTTTTTCTTGAAGATGTTGATTCGAGTCTAATTTCGCTAGACCTTGTTTTATTTCTAAATTATACTATTTATTTCTTAGTCTTCTCTAGATCCTAATGTAAATTTCTTTGATTTGATTAAATGTGTATTTATCCATAAATTTTATTAATTTGTTCAGAAAGTCAGTAAATTCAGGAAAGCTGTTTAATGACCAACTTGAACTTAAGTATAAATGTCGAATTAATCCTAATTCAAATTATTCTCGTTGAACAAAGACAATAAAGTTTGATATGCGTTTAATAACTTGATTTTGACAAGTAAAAATAATTGAAATCAGCATAACTGACCATCAGGATTGCTCTATTGGATTAATTACAAAACTTTTACATCCAAATTTGGGTCAATCTAAAATACAGGTTTTAAAGCTTCTCAATTACAGAATTTTCACTATAGTATTGAACTTTAAGCTTATTTCAATAATTAATACCCAACAAGTAGAAAAACTTTAATTTTTATGTCTTCAATTTAATTATTTATAAACTTTTTTACCACAAAACCCACACATCACAATATTTTAATTAATTTCACTATTTTACCTTATTCAACCAACTTTATATCAAAATAAAATAGGAACTGGTAACTCACAAGATCGTTGCAGAATGAAAAATGAACGAGAATGCATTGGGTTTTGCGGTATTTATATTAGAATCTATGCTCATCTATAGCACGATATTCTCATAGGTAACGCACATGATCAAAATGTGCGCGCAACAATTGCGAAGTGTTGGAAAAGTCCTTTAAATGTTTCTGTGAATGTTTCAGTTCACATGGATATCGTCACATTATTCATTGTTATCAAATACATTTTATATTGTAATTTTTGGTAGTAAACACTTCAGAGATAGATAATAATATACAAGAGCTTTTTCCCAATGATTTTTGATTATTACAAAGCGTTTATTGTTATCAGCTACATTTTCAACAGCTCAATTGACTTTTTTAGGTGGGTAAGAAGCCATCTAAAAGCCATGCCACATTTGAATGATGTTCTGTATTATTATAAATAAAATTTGATTTCAATTTTTGTGCCTATTCATCATCGCCAATATATTTATACATATTTATTGAAAAGATGATACACAAACGTCATGATGATGCGGGAAATTAAAGAGTTCCGTGTCTATTGAATATTTCCTTTTTTTGTTGAATTTCGGGATATGTTGTAGGTTGAAGGAATTAAATGGAAAATTTCTTGCGGTTTTTGTTCGCTTTTCTATTAAATTTTTGCTGACATGAGTTCTAAAATTATTTAAAAATTTATTTCTGTGGTGTTCAAATTTGAAGATTAAAATTAGTATGATTATTGATTTTTATTCGGAAAATCTATTCTATGTAAATATTAAAGGTATTTTAAGTTGAATGCTCAGGATGACAATGTCATCATTATTGAAATATGAAAAAAAATTTGCAAAAATAAAAGATCTAGACCAGAGTTGCGAAACAGGCACCTGTGACAGGTGAGAACCCTACAATTCCTTGATAATTTATAAGGTTTTTCTAACAGAACCATACAAATTATCAAGGAATTGAACGGTTCTCACCTGTCACAGGTGGCCTGTTTCGCAACTCTGATCTAGACAACAGAAGTGCATAAAACTAAAGTTAATCTTTATGGCTTCTTACATCATCGGTTCCATGAATTTTGGGAAAATTTCCAGAGATCGAAGCCGATTTTTTCGGCTTAAAATCGGCTAACTTGAAATTCTGAGCTCACTATAGCTACATGCTGACAAAATATTACACAGAATCATAGTAAAGCATGTAAAGTTCAATTTAAATACTTAAAATGGTAGTTAAATGGCTCTTTTCTATCAAAAAAATCAAAAATTGAGTTAAGCCGAAAAAATCGGCTTCGATCTCTGAAAATTTCTTTAATTTCCTAAGGTTTTTTGAGAAAACATCCAAAAACAACCCCTCGAAAATATTCCGTATAAGCTCTTAGAGAATACGCTCTTAAAGAGAATGTCTCGTAACTTACATTTTGTGAGTCGGCACATTGATATTATCCTGAGGCATGCAATTGTGCAGCATTGAAATTCAATCGTCTTCCAAAGCAAAAACTAAAACGATTCAAATGCAAGATTAATGCACGAATTGAATCATATAAAATCCATAGTTGTTTGTCTTTTTTAGAAAATTGAGTGATAGTTTTGTGACAAGAAAGGGTAAATTTTTTTGAAACGTCATTGAGCATTTTTATAGACATCAATATCGGCAACAAAATAAAAATATAAAACTCGTCCTTTTTAACCTAGTTATTTTTATTATTTAAGTTTTTTGAATTTATTTTAAAAATTTGTGCGTGAAAAAAAGTCACTTTTAATACATTTAACTTTATGGAATGATAGAATAACACAATGAGATTCTAAAAGCATTTTAAATACTGTTTAAAAAAGAAATGGTTTGGTGCTTTACTTCATCAAATGGAGTGCAGCGGCAATAAGTACGGTGAAAAGTGCAGTAAAGGCTTGTATGCTTGTTGCTGCGTTGTAGGTACGGCATACATTTGGTGTTGGTTTTGGTAAATGAATGCAAACGGTTCTTGCAAAGTCGTTGAGGGAGTCTTGTTGGACTTGTAAGTCGAATGACTGTAAAGTAATTAAATTGAATTAGTTTGAGATTTAAATAATTTTCTTTTGGATGATTTGGATATTAAGGAACGCTTGAAATGTTCATGTTACACCTTTAACACTGGTGAATCTTTGACAGAAGACCAAGCGTTCCATAATATTTATAATAACTTCTAAAACATTATTTACCTCACGAATTGTGATTGTTGGAACTGATTTCAATGGCTGTTGGAATTTGTTTGTTTTTTCTCCCATTTCTTTCAATAAATCTGATCCCTCAGTGCTGTTTGCACAATTCTCAATAGATTCAAATTTCTTAACTTGAGTTCTCGTTGCGCATTCTTTAGCTAAGTCAGCATAAGCTTCGTCTTTAAAAACGCCACCCATTAAGCATGTGATGTAATCAACAATGAGCGACTCTCTCGTGTGTTCCATTTGGAAGGAATCAACTTGAATGTGACTTATAGCACACGCGTGGATTTTATTCCCGTAGCATTCAATTTCGCCGTGATGGCAATCGAATATTGTGTCTGATCCTTGAGTTCTATATGAACTTTTGCCAAATGGAATCAAATGTAAATCCACATAGTCCTTTAAATCCTTCATTGTTGGGTACAGTTGTTTTGTCACAAATGCTTGACTGTCAGGGCATAAACTCTCATAGTAGATAAAGACTGGGGTCTGATGGGAATCAAAAATATATTATTGGATTGTTTACAATTTTTTCAACTATTAAAGTTTTTAATGAAACTATTTTTTTTATAATTAAAACATTAAATGTCAAGTAAACGTGAGAAACATCGCAACATTTGGTGTATTGCTATCATCCGACATTATGTAATGTTTTTTTTTTCATGTAGATTGTGTTAAAAAGCTTGTCGTTAATCTTTTTAATGACAATTTAATTCGTATTTACACCAGAATTTTTAGATTTTGCAAGTTAATGTGAAATTTTCTTTATAAATCAGAGTTGTTAACTTTGAAATGGATTTTATAAATTTTCTGTAATTTTGACAAGTCATGAGAACTTACGAGGAAGGCTTTTGAGCCATTTTTAATTAATAAACTAGACTGTTCAAAATAAAAAGGGAAAAAAAAAAAATTTTCGAGTTGACTCAAATTTAGGTAAATCGAACAAAGTTAAATGGCTCCGAAATGGCTGGGAAAAGTTTTCAAATCTCGATTTTATCTGTTTTTTAAAATTTTTGAGGATCCCTAAAAATATAAATTTTGAATTGAATTGAATTTTATTCATCATTTCTCTTATATTAAGGAAAAAGCCCTCTAAAACAGTACTTAAACTGTTTGAAAGGGCGTAAAAAACCTTGAAAGAAAAATTGAATAATTAATGACCTTACTGGTCGTTCGATAATATTGACACATAAAAAGTTTAAAGAATCTAAATTTAAATATAAAACGCTTCAGCGTAAAAAGAAACCGTTTTAAAAACCTACCTACAGTAAGAATTTATTAAATTTGAAAATAAAAACCTTTAAAACCGGCTTCAGAAATACAATAAAGTACAATATATGAATCATCAACTACTTGCTAAGCATAAAAAATACTTTCGACTCTGAATATGGCTTTTTCTGATGTCTCAAGGTATTAGCACGTACCTATTAGCTTAATTATCACGTCAAACTTACTTCCATAAATTTTTGTTTTTAAAAACAATGATGAATCAGAAATTCCTCTTCAAATTTTCCCCTTTTTTACCTTTTGCTTAAATATTTATCACATTTCAATTCATTTATAACAAAAACATGAGCCATAGACATTTGAAGTGATAATTTCAGCTATTTATGCGCTATTCTCTTATCCTCAATGCATGAATAATAAAGTAGCAACAATGATGACATTCCAAACTACAGAAAAATGATGATGATTCTTATAGAAATTAGATTCGTGCAGCTAAAACATACTGGGGGTCCTCGATTTGAGTAGTTGTTTTGTTCCAAAAAATTTCTACTCAAATCGAATCTATTCAAATCGAGGCAAAGAATCCATACAAAATCACATGTTTTGTTCCAGAGTCCAAAAAATGTATCAAAACAATGAAAATTATGATAATTTTTTGCACATTTTACCTCGTTTCTTAACTTTACCTATGTGTTTTAGATAACTTAATTTATTTCGACGCATATTCATATTGTTTTTAAACAGAAATTCACAAGAAATGTTTTTGAAACAAAACAAAAATATGAGAACCTTGCAAATGTTATTTAACCGAACAATTTGTAGGGTTTTTGAATTTGAACTTTTTAAAACCGTTAATTTTATATCAATTTTTTTTAAATTTTTACTTTAATTTTGTAACTTTAGTATTGATTTTTCGATCAACATGATAAGTTCACGCTTATTGCAGAATAATTTATGTTTTAAAAATATTTTCTGAAATGTTTTTATCAAAAATATTTGTTTTGTAAACAATTCAAATCGAAGAAATCTACTCAAATCGAATATTTTGGTGAGTAAAAAATTTTCTGTTCAAATCGAATCTACTCAAATAGAATCTACTCAAATCGAGGACCCCCTATATTGTTTTTTTGTAGCTGTAGACAGATGCTATGGTCAATTAAGTTCAATAGAGCAATAATACATTCGCATTTTTAAAACTTATAAAAATATTTAATTTTCAAGTGATTATAAAATTAGATAATTTCGGGTTTTTGAACTACTGACTCGCATTAATAAAATGACAACTCAGAGGTGACACCTTTCATTTATCGACATACTCTACGGGTTAATGTTATTAAAAATATTTATATGTGAATAATAAATAATAATAATTTGATGCGCGTACAATAACATGGTGTAATTCATGGGTTAATTTTAAGAGAATATTTGAATCCAACGATTTATGAATATTTGAAAACTTAACGAGTTTTTAAAAATTCAAATAAACTGAACAATTTGAAGCATAGTATTTAAATATTAAAAACTCGTTTAAATTTTTATGAAAATTAATGAAGATACAAGATTGATGATGATTGCTCAACTTGGCACAACTCTTAATGCAGTCTTTTGATTTTACAGTCATGGAATCTCATTTCTATGGTTACAAAAAGTTGCACTTTATTACATTTTTATGCTTATTTCCATTCGTAACTGTTTCATCACAATTTCTACGCAATAAAATACCTTTAAAACATTAACAGCCAATAAACACGAAGATGTTTATCAAGGATAATTTTATTACAAACCAATTGACGCATCAATAAGCAATTGAATATTATGAATCGGCATAATTCATCATTTGTTATTGGCAGTGCTTATTGACTTTTTGTTTTGTTTTTATTTCTTCATACTATACAGAAGACTGTGTGAAGACATGTTACAATAAAAACAGGTTTTAGAAGGGTCGAAAAATTAGTTGTGGATATGTGTACAGCATAAAATATCAAATCTAAAAGTATGCGTGTCACAAATTGTTTTAAAAACATTTTTGGACGTAAAATCGATATTTTAAAGTTATTTTATTAAACTATGAAGAGGTCTTGTTGATCAGAATGCGGATAATAATGGTTTCATTGCACTTTTTACCACACCTTGTGACTCGATCGATGTTAAACTTAATTTTAAATGACATTTCACGCAATTTAATTATAACTTAGTACCTTTTGTGCACAGGAAACTGATAAAATACACAATAGAACTAATACTTTCGCAATCATTGTGCTGACTTTTGAGTATAAATTATTAAAACTTTAAGCAATTATTTATCAGATCTTTGACTACACCTCGACTTGCTTGCCAACTGAGAACTGACATAAAGTTTTCTCTGTGAGAGTAGTTTTTAATAAAAAAAAAAAAACTATTAAGCATGACACATAGCAAAACGAAAGAAAAGTGGAAAGAAGACTTAAAGAAGCTTTAGCCAGTGGCGTGTGTGGACTTACTTAGGTGTTATATTTCAATGGATTTTAATAATTCTCGTATTTCTTATAAATTTTTATTATTAATTAATTAGTCTTTGATAACAGAAAAATTAACTCAAGTAAACTTCATTCCTTTGCTAGCTAAGTCCTTTCGTGCTTCTAATATCTCTTTCTGTAATTCCATTGCTGCATCTTTGCATTCATTAAACGTCAGCGTTCTGTATAGCACTGTTGTAACTGCATAGATCTGTAAGAAAAACATTAATTAAATTAATTGTTTAAATGTTTTTAAGTTTATTGTACTTACTCCAAGTAAAACTACTAGAATTAATGGTAAAATTTGTATGAAGAACATGTTATCGTCAATTATCTCATGTTTAATACGTTTTGTCACTAACGCCATATAAATTCCAAAGAATACAGACAGTCCAAAGACCCATTCGTTAAGCTTTGTCATCCTTAATTGCTTAAAACTCAGTTAAATTAATGATATTTGTTGGTGACGAGAAATATTTATTTTTGTAAACAATGAGTCCTTTGAAAATTACAAAAAATAAATCATTGACATGGATTGTTGGGAGTCTTTGATTTGAATAATCTACCGGTTACCAGGAAAATAACTACGATTGTGATCACAGCCAAAATTATTCAAATTAAGAATCCCTGTAAATATTTACAAAAAATTTTTGTACAGTTTAATTAAGATTTCTCTAATATGCTTGCATCTTTAAGGATATTTAATAGATTAAGGTATGCATAACAGCACTAAGCACCATTTAACACTCGAGTAATAACTTGACATCCTCAATTTTATAGATTATTTCAATCCAGTCGATTCCTTTCGCATGCTCAACCTGCAAATAATGATTTAGGTTTTAAAACAAGCTACGATAATGATCAAACGAGTAGAATACTCAAAATAGTCAATACATCTTCCGTACTTGAGCTTAAAAATTATCAAATATCACACCAAAGGATCCAGCGAATTCTTAAAAGGCGAGAAGCAAAAGGACATTTTGAGTCAATTGAGGATCTACTGGAAGTTGATGGTTTTGGAATTAAGATTTTAGAGAAATTTTGTAATAGTATAATTAATTCAAAGCCTGAAGAAAATTCAGAAGGCATAGACAACGATACATTACTCAAGCCTCAGCCTGAATCCACAAAACGACCACAATTCTTGACACCAGCTTTATTGGAAGTTATAAGGAGCAAAGTCAATACAGTTGTCTCTTTTCACATTGACTTGAATTACTTTGCCTGGACAAAGTTCTATTATGATCGACAAGCCAATGAGGAACTTGAGGAACCGAAATATTTTATCGACGGCTGGAACTGCTATGAATTTGCTAAGCAAGAGAAGAACTTGCGACTTACTGACTTAATTGAATTGCTAGTAAAATTTAATGATCGTATACCTGAAGCTGATGTTTATACAATTGAATCCTTACCTGTTGCTGTTCAGGCGAAACAGCCAGGAAGTGCATTACAAGTCAACATAAATATCCAAAAAACACAATTAACAGCAATGCTTAGCATTTTAATGGCTTCAAGACGTTCTGTGAACAAAATGTTGGCCAGTGATGATTGCAAGGAACTAAATTTAGATACATCCAATGTACAGGAAACACCGTACATTGATTCTGTGTACTTTTTAAGGAACTTCCTCCCATCAAGATTTTACAAGATTCTAATCGGAAATGAACGAGTTTCAGCAGCTAACGTTATCAATGAGATTATTACGTACAATTATACAGTCCATAATAAATTTGATCCAACGTTTGCTTCCGTCAATATTCCTGAGGAATATCGAGAGTTTTGGAAGAACTCAAACAGGATCCATCAAGAGTATCTCGGCAGTTCTATGCTTGCTGGTCTTACTTTTCTTAAATTATGCATCGATCGATGTCCTGGATCTTTGGAGAGATTAAATTCTAGAGTTAAGAAAAATTAATTAAGTTAAATTATGTCAATAAGCTTTGAAAAATTCATTTTTGTAAGAATAAATTAAAATGGAAAGTTCAAAAATCAATTCTTTCGACTTTTTCGATAAAGAATATACACAGAAATTGAAAGAATCATTGCAGGATGAAGAGAAGCGACTGGGAAATTTAGAGAAGGCAAGAGTCGAGCTTGTAAAGGAACTAGAAAAGCTGGAAAAAGAAATTCTTAAAGAGAAAAAGAAATATAGAAATTTGATTGATAATAAATTGACAAAGGAGATTGAAAGCATCATAAGCAAGTATCCAGAAGAGCCACAAAATGATATTAAGGCATGCACGTCAACTCATCAAATGAAAATCGAAACTATCGACTTGGAACTTTCAACACATTTAAATGGTATGCATTTTGACGAGTTTCAAGCTCCAAATTTCCCAGATATCCCGAAAATGTCAAAAGAACAATACATGAACTCGATAAAGACATTTCTATCTGCAAAAGGAACTAAAAATTCACAGTAAATCGAACATAAATGAATTGTTTTAAAAATGCTCTATTTCAATTCTCACAAAATCATTAAACAAAGTTTACAAATGTTCACCGGCTTCTTTCTTATTGGTCTGGAAGTTTGAGCTCTGGGACCGACACTTAATTAATAAGACAAATCATTTCAGACGTTATGCTTAAATACAAAAATGAACAAGAGACTTTATTGATTGAAATTCAGTTTTAAAAATTTAACGGAAAAATTTGAAAAATGTTTAAGAACCATACAAATGTTTTGTATAACCGTTGGAGGGCTTTGAGAAACTTTTTGGGATTTGTAATGTTTTCAGGTTAATTTGGATGGTTCTGAAACATTTTTTCAAATTTTATCCGTCAAATCCCCAACAAACTTCAATTTGCATCTTTTCTTCCTTAATCGCGTTGCTTGATCAATTCGATCTTGTGTAAATGAAATGTTAGAAGATAGAAAAAATATTTGTTATGAAAACACAAAAGTTTAAGTCTTATTCTCGATGCAAAAGCACATAAATCGCCAGTATTGATAGAATAAGATATTTGAAATTAGGATATTCGTTCATAAGGATAGTAATCATTCCAACGTAAGGAAGGAATCCGCGAGCTCTTCCAACAATGTCCTTTTTCGTAAGCCATAACTGTCCTGGGGCATAAAGTCCCCTGTCATCTACAGAGTTGTTATCACCTTTTGTTAAGAATTTTACAGTTCCATCAGACCTAAAATAAGTCAAATATTAAGTATCCAGTAAGGATAACAAAAAGATCCAGGATAGACTTACTTCTCGTGCAATTTGATTACTCTGTGGACAATAGGAATGTCTCGTCCCTCTACCTTAAAAACTACAATTTCTCCAACACGAACAGGCTCCTCTGGATAATTAGTCAGGAACAACAAATCGCCTCGATGAAAAGCAGGTTCCATAGATCCACTCAGAACGACAACAATTGGAGATTCACTTCCAGTAACGACCATTAATCCTTTCCAAATCATCAAAGCTGACGATACAATCATACCAAAGCTGAGAACTTGATAAAAGAACTGCAAGTACCATGCAAAAGTATTATTATCATATTGATGATGCGGCGATTATTTTAAAAAATATATTTAAAACTTTTTTGTCAATTTACCTGTCTTTTATCCATTCTCTGGACGTCACTTAAGAGACTCTCCATTCCCAACGATTTTAGTAAACTCATTTTGATTTAATTAATGTACAGGATTAGCCTAATTCTAGTTTAATTAATGATTTTTCAAATTCTCAAATGTATTTTTTCGATATATGACGTTTTTAAGCGACACGTATCCGGCAAGACAGGGTTGATCATCGTAGAGTCAATATTACAATTTGTTTAATGGACTTAAATGAAGCTTTTAGTTGTGAGGAACAAAGCAAAACTTGGGAGATGGGAAACAATTCGGAATTGGTTCAGGTTTAGCATAAAACATTAAAATAAAATTAATGACAGTTATCGAAAATTCAAATTACCAGCTCTGCATCGAAACTTGCGAAATTCCATGAAAAAAGTACCGATTTCAGATATTTAAATTTCACACAACCGTTAAACAAATATTTTACAATTGCTTTATATTTTATTGCAAAAAATGCATTCATCACTTATTAATTACAATATAAATCAGTTAATCTAGTTGAATTAAGGTTCATAATCCATAATCTAGCCATACCGGCATTTAAATAGCACCAAATAAAGAGAGTCTCACTAATACGAACAAGTCACACAAATTAACAACAATAATAATGGAGAAAAAAGTTTAATTAAGTTAACAGAGATTTTACAAACTAATGAGACAAGTTGTTTAGCAGTAGAAATAGCTACTATCTATTAAAGTAAATGCGAAGGGAACAGTAGGAATTAAAAAATACAAGAAATTCCATCAAAAATTATGAAAAAGTGACTTTGTACTATAATTAAGAACTTTTTTGATTCATTTTTATTACTGTGATAACACCAATGACGTTTCTAGAAGATACAGCCATCATTTTGGTTTCGCAGGTATTGTATAGTGAAAATCCAACAACATCCAGTCATTAATTAAACTATATCAATTTTTTAGGTGATTTTCTTCATTGGAGGATTGATCTTCTTCGTTAAGCAACTGTTTAAGAACTATGAAGTCAAGAAAATATCTGTGCAGCTCATTTTCTCGTTTACGTTTGCACTCAGTCTCACTTTATTTGAGCTGATTATCTTCGAAATTATGGACATACTGCAACAGTCATCCAGACTGTTCTATTGGAGAATGTCACTTGTGTCCATATTGATCATGGTTGTTGCTGTTATTCCATACTACATTGCACACTCACTGATTAGTAATTTAAGACTTTTTCAACGCTACTCGACAGCATTCACACTCATCTTATGGCTATTCTTCTTGTATTGCTTCTGGAGACTAGGCGATAAGTTTCCAGTTCTAAGTGTCAATATCTCAATGTTCTCCATTGAGCAGGGAATATCAAGTAAGTAGATTCTTAAACAATTAATAAGTCCGTACTTAACATTTAAGTGCTATTGCAGGAATAGGGGTGATCGGAGTTACAGTAATGGCTATATTGTCAGGCTTCGGTGCTATTAATTTTCCATTCACAAACATGAACTACTTCATTCATCCAGTGACTCAAAATGACGTCATCAATACTGAACGAAGGCTGTTTCAAACAATTGACATGATTTTAGCAAAAAAGAAGCGAATTGCACTTGAAAAGAAAAATCGCCAGAAAAATCCAAATACGACAAAAAATTCATTTTGGGGACTTTTGACATCTGTTACTAAGTCAAGCGGATCGGAAAGTATGCTGTGTCAATAAAGCTATAAAAGTTCAATATTTAATTAATCTATGTCTTTTTAGATATTGGACAGTTACGACTAGAAATAAGTGGATTAGAAGAGCTTTCGCGTCAGCTCTTTTTAGAATTAAATGACATGAAAAACATGCAGGAACGACAAAAATGGTCGTCGACCTGGCAAGGAAAGTATTTTAATTTTCTCGGACTGTTCTTCAGCTTCTATTGTGTCTACAAAATCTTCATGTGCATCATTAATATTATTTTTGATCGAGTCGGTAAGAAGGATGCAGTAACAAGAGGCATTGAGATTGCAGTCCATTGGTTGGGCTTTGAATTCGATATTGCTTTTTGGTCACAACATATCTCATTCTTCCTGGTTGGATGTATTGTTGTTACATCAATTCGCGGTTTATTAATTACATTAACAAAGGTAGGTTTCATATTTGATGACTTAACATGCTCAACTTAAACATAAGAAAATTAACGAATTTTTGAAATGTGGAAGATAGCCGGTATTAATAATTTGAATTTTTGAACCTCGATTGAGTTCAAAATTCAAATTATCTTTGACGGTTGCTATTTAAAAGTCAGAATTCCGTTAATAGAGCTAAAACTCAATGAATGTCCATTTCTAGTTCTTCTACACAATCTCGTCGAGTCGATCATCAAACGTTATCGTATTAATCCTAGCTCAGCTGATGGGAATGTATTTCTGTAGTTCTGTATTATTATTAAGGATGAATATGCCACAAGAATATCGAGTGATTATCTCACAAGTGCTATCAGGTCTTCAATTTAACTTCTTTCATCGATGGTTCGATGTCATTTTCCTCCTATCTGCTTTATCGTCTATCTTCCTACTTTTTATAATTCGAAAACCTTTAGTAATGACTGAAAACTCATCAACAACAACTTATGATCATTCAAATTAACTGTAATCCACTGTTTCTTGTTAGTTTAATTAATAAACTTTTATTATGAATTGTTATTAAACAATCAAATTAAATTTGGATTCTTTCAGTTGTAGTCTGTGATATATGTCATGATATATGTATCATGTCGAGCACTTTTCCTTATGATTATCGACTGTCGAAACCATAGCAACCAAATAAAACAAAACAAAAATAAAAGAAAAATCGTGAATTTTAATCGGCTACTTTTAATTGTGCATTTTAACATCTCTTTCTATGTAATAATTAAGCTTTGTTCCTTTTTTAACTGTTAATGGATTAAATTAATCATCGAAACTAATGAAATCGTGTGAAAAGTTAATAATTTTAAAGGTATTGAATTTTTTTATGTTCTTAAAATTGAATAATTCCTAATTTAAGATTCGCAATGTTCCTTATGACTTATTAATGATCTGTTTTGTTAAGTTTTATTGATCAACTCGTTCCTAATGTGTCAGAAGGTAGGCTTGATGTTTGCTTAATGCCTCCTGAATAAAAGTTTTAAAATTTTATATTGCACAATGAATCGATTAGTGTCATTTATGTAGTCTATACTGATATCAGTGAATTATGCTCAAGTGGAACTAGATTATTTGAAGTTTTTCGTACGAAATAATTAAAGTTGATTTTTATTGAGAATTTTGATTGTGCATGCAAATAGAAAATTAAGTGAAATTATATTCAAAGTAAAAATTGGTAGAGATGATAAATTCTATGTAGTGAAAGGGGAAGTTGAGAGTCGAATTTAATTTGTTAAATTCTGTTCAATTGTTCGTTTTGAGTTTATCAGTGAAATCAATTAGAAATTATTTTTTAAGGTGTTATAAGAATTTGAAAAATATACTTCAAAACTATACAAATGTTATTCTTAATTAAATTTATTATAGTCCATATTGCTATTAAAAGACCGGTAGCAATTTCAAGTAGTTACATTTATAAATGTTCATAAAGAGACTTTTGAAAAAATCCAGTCAACTTCAACCGGTTGACAAATCCTGATTCCCTCAATTCAGTTTAATTTGTTCTCTGGCCCGAGCACGCAAACCTGAGGAAAATAAATAATTAATGGAAAGTCATATACAAATTTAGATCGAACTTATGAAGGTGATTTCTGCGCGCTCTTGTAAAGTATATGGCAAATGCCACATTTTGAACAAAATTTTTTATGACACAAAAAATTCTTTTTTTTTGATGATTTTTCGTAAGATTTGAATTTTAGCAGATTTGATCAAACATTTCACATGGTAATTTGCTAGTAATTTGCAATTAAATAGCAAGTGCAATTTACTAACAGTAAGTTGTTTTAATAATAACTAGTAAATTGCAAGTTGTAGAATAGAAAGACTAGCAATTTGCTAGCTAGTCTCGCTAGGGGGGTATTACGATAATATCAAGTTCCAGTTTTGTTTAAGTTTTGTTCATCAATTTTGAATTTTCTCCAAATATTAATTAAATCGCGACTTTTATGAGTTTTCTGAATAGTCTTTCGGTTCCTTTGTTCTTTATGCAAATTTTGAACTTATTTTTGTCTAGTTCCTGCGCGCAAATAATTAAATATGCAGAATTCACAATTCCACAACCTCGTTCTTCGCAGGTTGGTAAAAAACTCACTATAAAAATGTTGAGATATTTCAACTTTACCATGCGAATCCTTTTATATTTGCTGAAACAATTTAACAGTTTTCCGAAGGATTTGTAAAGTTTTAATTGAGTTCCTTAATTAATTCATTTATATTCAAATCGAGCAACCTCTTTACATATCATTTGAACTTGATTCTAATTTACCTACGCCAAAAAATTCAATTCTTACACTTCTTGACTACATGAAGTTAACGAACAGCATAAAATTGGCCTTCTGTCATTATTAAATTGTGGTAACTGTGTCCTGATCTTTAAAAAAAAATTCCCGAATTCCAAGACATACAAATTCTTCTGGGTCATTAAATTCAAATGTCCTTGTTAAATCGCCATGTGTTCATGTCTTTCGTGGTTAACGGTAGATTGCTTTTAAGCATGTTGGTTTTTCAAATAATTAGTTTTATTCAATTCTATCAAAATTATCAAACTTTCAAGTTTAAGAGTGCATTAAAGTTTAAATAAAATTTACTTAATTTCATATTTTTTACCTAAAACTCTTCATTCAGTTCCAATGAATATCTTCTTACTGAAAACCAAAAGACAAGTACCATAAGATAATTCTGTTACTATGTCTCAAGACAATGTTATTAATACTTCCTAGAATTCAATCCTCAGCTAGAGTTAGCAACGACCTTCTCAAATCCTGTTTCTAAGTCTGTCTCGAGATCTGTGCGAGCTTCCGAATTGAAAACGAGAGCATAGAATTTTAATTGAAACTAAATAATATTCATAGCATACCGAGCTGCTTTCATTCACAAACATCTGCGAAATCATCAATCCGAGAAGAACAAAGAAGAATGGTAAAGAATGACGCGTGTGTGTCACACAATAGCGCATTTTACTAGAACGACATAATTGATATTAATGTTTTGATAAAAGAAATGTTTGAATACATTTTTTTTTATCATGTCGTTTTCAAATCTGACAAAAATAAGGCTTCATTCCCTGACTATACTCTGTAGACCTAAAGTTCATGTTACGATTTGAACCACTTACAAGTTCCGCACGTTTTAATACACCTCGTCACAATTCTTGTGCGCAAGATGTCGTAAGGAAGCCGTCTAGAAGCAATTATATTCTTAAAAATGAAGCCAATAGCAAGTGAGACCCATTTTGTTCCAAAAGACTTCAATACCTAGCACATGAACCTGAATTCATGACTAGATCTGTGCAATAAGAAGTCTGGTAAATAAACGTTATGAGTAAGTTCTTAGTAACTTTGGAATCAGACTTACATGAGACACACATGCCATTTAACCAACCTGTGATTTTTCTTGACTTAAAGTCAAATTTTTAACCGACCCATCACAGCTAGACAGACAGACATAGAGCAGGCATGATCAACCATATCCTTTGAGACATGATACTTAAAAGTATTATCTTTGATACTTCGTAAAATATTATGGAAGGAGAAATATTCTTCAGATCATTTGCCACGGGAGCACGCCGGTTGCTAGATGCTTATTAAATTTCAAAGCCTTTACATGACCTATGTTAAACTTCTCCAAAATAAAATGCATATTGCAGTTACTATGATACGATTCAATGATTTCTGAATGAAAATTGTGTGTATACGTGTAATTGTTTACTAACAAAAATTCAGCTCCCTTCCGATATTTTATATGCGGTACTGTCTGAATTCGTTACCAAATGAACGGCTTGAACTGACAGATATCCATAGTTCCACGACAGTTGTTATTTTTTTTTTACTATACTACTGTCTGTATGACAATACAACACCTGCTTTTGGGTGCATTGCCATAAAGGATCACATTTGACTATATAGCATGTTATGAACAATTTTTATTCATAGTTTTTTTTTTATTTCCTTGAATCGCCTAGTCCATAATATGCTTTTTTTAGTTCCATATCATCATTCGCTTGATGAACGTAGTCAGTTCCGTATTTTTAATACAGAAAAAAAAATAATTTCTTGTTTGATCAATAAAAGGAAAAAAAAAATTTGCCATAGTTTTCGACACAAAGAACAAGAAGTTCTGAGTGAAAATTGAGTTTCATTAAAAGTTAGTCGCTAAGGGGTTGTGCGGAACAGACGATTTTAAATCCTCTTCCCTCTTGATAATTTTACAGAAGGATTTTAAGTACGAAGGAAAGCAATAATGGCCACAAGATTGGCTACTACAAGAAATAATTTCATAACTGTGACACAAGTTAAGAATGACGATGATACAGATATAATTAATTCGTCAAATAATGGAAATAATTCGACGGAAATACAGCGTACACAAATTACACCCGTTGCCCTGCATCATGTCAATTTGAGTCAGGTAAGTTTGGATTGAGGTCCTTGAACTCAAGCTTCCTGGAAGATTGAATTTTGATTTCAAGGAGTTTAGATCTTAGTGAGCTATAGAAACTTAATTATTGGAATTCTAGGATTAGCTTCTATGGCTGATCTGGTCAATGTTAGAATTAGAAATATTTCTAGATCTCATCTTAATTTCATTTCTAATGTGTTTGTTCGATTTCCCGCCATTTTCTAGAGTTTAGACTCTAATCTTTAGAGTAATTTCTTCAAAATATTCAAGATTGTTCTCTTGTGACTATAAGACATCTTAAATCGTTTGCCATTGAATAAATTCAAGGAGCTATTCTCAAGAAACTATTGAACTCTAATTTAAGCTAGTAATCCAAACTTATGTAATTCTTTGAATAATCCAAGCTCCTTAAGATCAAAAATTTCTTCATAAACTCTTCACTAACTGCTGTTACAATTTATTTTCAGAAGAAGATAATCCTTCAAACGGCACCATCGGGAAATGTTAGTGTAATTGACGTTGTGCCTTTAGAATCATCAGATTCAAGTGATTCACAAATAATAGTAGCCGAACCGATTACATCATCACCAAATAATCAATCGAATGGACAGCAAGTGACTGCACAAGTTGCTGTTGTTCAAGCACAAGGATCGCCCAATGGACAACAGTTTATCACATTTTCGGGTAAAATTTGTGAGTATTTAATGATTAAGGATAATTAAACTAACATTGTGGTATTGTGTATCTTTAAATGCTTACTATCAAAAATTAACAAATAAAGCGGAACAAGTTCAGAAACTTCAATATGCTCCCCTTACAACTGTTGGTGAGTATGGCTTCTGATCTGATTGCTTTTCTTAATTTAACCTTTCTCGGTTTATTTTAATGGATTTATTTATTTGTTGGAAACCTTTTATTGCATAATTTTTCAACATATTTTTGTTATTTATTGATAAAAATCTGTTTTTTGTTCAATTCTAAGACTTCATCAGTGCAATATTTGGGAAAACATACCAAATGTTTGTGCCTTTTCATAGAAAAAAATATCTTTTTGATGTCATTATGAGATGTTTTTCCTACATGATTAGATTCAATTGAGGTTGAATTGAACGATGAAAATGTTTTTCAAAGGGATTGTTTGTAGATTTATTGAGATAAAATTTCTTTAAAAGATTTCAATTTCAAGGTGTATTGATTTGTTTTTGCGTAGGTTAGATAAGGTTTTATTAATTGTATGATGTTGAGTTTAACATTAAAGTCTAAATTTGTAAAAGTAAAATGTTTGTTTGAACAAGTTTTGAGCTTAGTTTAAAAATCAAAGCATAATTTAAATTTTAAAGGATAAAATATAATTGAAATATTAAAAGTCAAAGAATTTTAAAAAAGTTTTAAATCTTCTAAAGATTTTTTGAGAACTATTTTAAAAATTTGCTTAACCTTATTGAACCAAATTAAAGGATTAAAATAAATTTAATCTCGAAATCCAAGATTTTATTTAATTTCATTTTTTTATTAAAGATCTTACAAGATTTAAAGTCTTCATCAATTTGCACTTTAACAACTTTTTACAACTTTAATCTTAAAGTTAAAACATAGAAATAATCGAAATTATCAAAAATTTTCTAGAAGAAGATTAAAGTTTAAATTATTGTACAAAAACAAAGTTTGAAAAATTTTGAACTTAAAATAATATCAAAATATTGAGAAGTAATCCATTACTCACTCAATCATATAATGCGATTACTCTTGCTATTTATGGCAATATTTTCAATAAATATTCAATAACAGAATCACATCAACGTTCACGGAAAATAAGTATCCTTTCGAATTTTCTAGAAAGTGTAACCAAGATAATTTAATAAAGTTGAACAATTTTGTTTTCAACCTACTCACGCATATTAAAATTGACGCTTGATATGAATATACAAACCCACCTGAAGTGTACAGGCTGATATCATGAGTATGAAAAGAACAATGAGCATTATAGGGGACGTTTATAAGTAATGTATAGTTTGGTAAATCGTGGGACATAGAAGCTATGAAACACTTCAGATGATATTGATTGAAATGTCTCAAAATCACATCTTAGACGATATTTATGTACGACCCTAATATATCGATTTAATCATAGTAAACAACAATTTATCTCCTTTTATTTTGTTACGACTCACAGAGTGCAAACGCTGCATTGATTTTGGAATAAACATCCTAATTAGACCTAATGATTTCTACCTCTAACATTTGAGCAATATAAAGTATATTTACTGAGATAGTAACATATTGATTATCATTGTAGCGTAAATATAAAATCGTAATTGTAATTTCATACAGCATGCATTTAATTAAATGTGATTATCTCTTCTTATTTTTCCCGTCTCTTCTTCATTCCTTGCATACTGTAATGTTTGATTCGTAAAGGACTATATTAATATAAATAAAAATACAGGTGGAAATGCTACTTAGGGACGAAATGAAACTTTAATCCCTCCAATTTGGTAAGGGAGAATCAAAATAATGTCTTCACCCTTCCCATCAAATTATAATTTAAACATTTTTCGCCTTGCTTCTCGTTTTTTGATTTGATTCCATACAACGCGACATGCTTTCAAATTACTTTTTATGAGTTTTCTTTTATTATTGTGATACACGTGTCAACAGGTACGCTCAGATAACGTACAAAAACAAAATATATCAAATTGCGACAAAATGAGGATTTCTCGTTTACTCTGCCGTAAAATCTTCATGATATTGATACTTTCACATTTTAAATTAATTTGAACTTCAAAAAAAAATATCCTCTGAGAAAGTGATTTTAAAGTTTTAATGAGGAAAGACAACTTCTATAATAAAATGTTTTGATTTAAGCTGTTTGATGATATTTTTGATACTTCGAATGAGGTGAAAATGGAATTAAAAATCAGGGTTGGGATGGTAGCGTAAATAATGCCAATTATTTATTTAAAAAAATGTTTTGTGTACTTGCTTTGAGCTCTTAAAAGATAATTTACGTAAGATGTCACAAACTAGTCGCGTAGCTAAAACTCTCCCAACGATGCAAAGCTTATCAAAGTGACCAAATTTGACTTAAATGCTCAAAACATGATTGATAAATTCCGAACTTTTGACTCTTATAAGAATGGACAAAGTACTAATTAAAAGCCTGCCATTGACTTGTGTCGTTTACAGAAACGACAGGTTTTTATTGTAATTATTATCTTGTGAAGGAAACTTAACAAAATCATGCATTTTAAGAATAATTCTTTAATTTCTATATTAAACCTACTATTTACTATAATTGTCAATTGATTAAAACATCTTAAAACTAATGATTAACTGTATTATGTACAATTTGATATTTACATATCATTTGTAACGTCTACACTCGATTCAAATTACTCGTTACACTTATTAACATGCATCTGAAAATTCAGGCGCAGTTAAGTAAGTTCTTTCATTTACTTTTAAGTCGTGAACGAGTGTAGTTAAACTATTACAAACATTAAAACATCGCAGATTACATAAAAATTATTAAACTACACTCAATCACAGACTTGCCTGTTCATGGCGTTTATATTTACTTAAAAGTTTCATACAAATTTAGTGAGACCTTATATAAGTGATTTCTGCAAGCGCTTGTGAAGTATATGGTCAAAAAAGTAAAGAAAATTATTTTTGAGTTTTGAGCACTTGATTGATTAGCATGAATGTCCAGTTAAAGTCTAGTTAACTTCTAGTTCTATATGTCGTATAAATTTCGGCATGTTGAAAGACTGTTAAATGATTGTCCAATAATGAACTTTAACAGGCTGTGTCCACCCGGGTTATCTTAATAAATGAAGGTTTTGGAGACAAAAGAAACTTAACCTTCCCTCATTAACATCAAAACCCATTAAGCAGTTAAGTGCCTTGCTGGTCGAATAGGTAAGGCGCTTGGCTCAAATTTGGGATGGTAACTCGAAGGTCGTCGGTTCGAATCCAGCCATTTCCAAATTTGTTCTTTTTCGGAAGTTTAGATACTTCGACTGCTTAATGTAGGAGATCAGGCCATAATTGGGCATTTGGGCAACGTTGGATTAAGGAACGGGTAAGGAACTTGAAGTGTAGCGGGAGAAATAGGAACGAGAGCTACAAGATTACCTACGAATGGAATATTGTTAGAACGAACCTGAAAAGTATCACGTCACGCCTACAGAAGATCGAAACAAGAGCCTTAGTTTATTTGAAACCTAGATTTGAAGATTAGAAGTTTGATCCTACATAATATTAATTCATATGTATACAAATACAAAAGTGTAAAATGTGAATTATTACCGGACAGTATGTCGTCAATAAATGCAATAAAGTGCAATTAAAAATGGAAAAAAAACCCATTTGCTTCACTAATGTGAAAAACATTTAAGAACGATCATTTACAAGATTTGACTATTTTAACAATAAATCTAGTACTGATTTTTGGAAAGCTAGAAAAGCAACAAAAAAAAACCTTCACTTATTAAGATCAATTCTGACCCAGAGTTGCGCTAGGGTGATTCGTGGCTAATAAGAGTTTAACGAATGAGGATGCGCCAGATTATTGTATTTAAATCTAGAACTACAGTTAACAATAGAATCCGAACTACTCCTTGGATGACATCACTGCCTTTAGCCTACAAACGAAGGCAATGAGCTTCATTTCCAGGTAACATGATTCAAAAAAGGACAATTGAAAAATTTCTCATGCCCAGTCTTGAATCCATGATCGCTGTGTCGGTATTGCAATAATTAGGTACCGAAGTACTAAACGATTTCGTCACCGAACCTTTTTAGAAAAGCAATAATAGAAACTTAAACCTTGATGCGTTTAACCAGTGCTTATTTAACAATAGGCTATCGCGATTTCCTGATCCCAAAAATTCAAAGGACTTGGTCAGAAAGTTTATTGAACCTAGAAAACCTTCTAAAAATGTCGAATTAGACATTGACAGCCATTATCACGACGTGTGCCTTTCGGGCTAGTGTACAAACAACTAGTCATCACTATAAAACACCATAGAAATCTGTTGAATTAGCCAAATTATGACATGATTTTCAGAAAAATGTGCTAATTAATTTTACTGAAATCATTATGGGGCTGTTCACTTATTACGTAACGCGAAAAAATGACTTCTTAGACCCCCCCTCCCCCCCCCCTCGTAACAAAATTTGTATGAAAAAAAAATTTCTTTGTTTGAACCGTAACAAAATCTTAGACCCCCCCCTCCCCCTAAAAGCGTTACGTAATAAGTGAATGGCCCCTATTGGAATTATCCTAATTTGCAAAGAATTAAACGAATTAATTTATTCAGGCGGAAAACGTGTAGCAATATTGCATACGAACTCTGTCTCACGAGTAAAGTTGAGTAACTTTGCAATGAGTTTTTTTTTACCACATAAAATGCTATTTCCATCAAAGAACAAGTTATTATTTATAAAATACAATTTTTTTTTGATGAAAATTCCAGCTTTGATTAATATTCCTTTTGACATCTCCAAAAGTTTATCAATTTATTTCTGTTTTTCAAACTCACAGTTCCGCATGTTTTATAGATGCTTTTGTATAGAACATTTTTCTCCCCTAGAAACGCCTATTTTGAAGTAACCAATCAGCATCATTGGATGCTGTAGCATCTGTATATGTGTATAAAATTACAGTGTATGGTTTCTGTCACATGATATCACTTTCACTTACTCGTAATATTGTAATAGATAGGAAATATAAAAAAAAAATCCTCTCATATTTTTCCTGATACTAGGTTTTTGATTTCATTGACATGATACATATCATTTTGCTGAACTCATAATATTTTATGACCTGTTTGTTGTTGTCGTCGTTGCTGAAAAATACATAAGGAAATTGTGAAATTTTATAATGGCCATCTCACACCATCATCAACATACCTGTTGTAATTCTATAATGTTGAGTAAAAAAAATGTGTGTGTATGTGCGTGTGTAGAAGAGCAAGAAGAGAGAGAATAACAGATAAGATCTGTATAGAAAATTATAGAAAAAAAGTATGTAGAAAAAGGAAAACAAGATTTGAAGTAAAGAAGCATATACTCAAAAAAAGAAAGAAATGGAATAAAATAAGGTAGCTAGTAAGGGAGGGAAGTTGATAATATAATTTTATGTTATATTGCTCGAGTGTTTTTTTTCTCTTCTCATCTCATCTCGCCCCCGACGAAAAAAAAAATATATATACATTGCGAAAAAGAACAGGGAGGAAAAAAAAAGTTTCACGTTTTAGAAATTTTTTTCTGGTATCGAATTCAGTTGAAATCTCGGCGTTGCCGCGTTGCTAAGGTTTTGCATTTCTCTCTCGTGAATATCTCGTGATTTTGTGCTGCTTCTTACTTTAGATTGATGAATAAAAAAATTGCATGGATCATAATTGTGCATTGACTTACTATTAAAAAGCTGGGGATTTATTGTGAATAACTTGAAACAATTAAGAGGAAAGAGGATTGAACTGTTATCGAACGAGACAAGTTTATAGTTTCAATGACTAATTAATTGTTAAGAAATTCAATCTTTACGGAAGGACTTAAGTGATTTGAGATTTTTCTTGTAATTTTAAAGAAAGAGTTCAACTGGATTTCCGTTACCTACTCACATCTTTCATTGTTTTACGAATTCTAAAGAAAATCTTGTGTCAAAAGGATTTTTTCTTAGGAAGTTTATATTATAAGTATTTAATATAAATATAGCATGATGTATCGTCGACATCATCATAACCATAACTCAAACTTACCTTATAATTGTGGAGGTATACATAGTTTTAAGTGATCAATATTTTATTTATTAAGTTTAATCTTATTAAGTTTTCAATTGCAAACATTCTGCTAGAAATAAACTTCTTTTTACTTAAGTCAAAGATTGTAGTAAAAGTCAATAAATTAAATGGAAATTCAATGTGTTTCATGGCAATTTACACATCAATAGACGGATTACAGTCTTATTAATATATCTTAAGTGAATACTTACGTATAACTTAATCAATTAATGATTTTATGTTAATTAAGTTTGAGCGAATAAAATAAATTGAACAAAATTGAACTGAGTTTTCAAACAATTAAAGCTCAATTTTAAAACTTTAAAATAAACGTAAATTTTTAATGCAGCAATTAAAATCTCAGGAAGGAAAAAACCTTCCTGGTGACTTAATTAAATGAAAAAGTAGTTAAGCTTCTAATAAATCCATGACAAATTACAGAAAAAGAAACCATTGACAGATTACAAATCTCACTATAAATCCTTCAATACAAATCTAGCAGAATGATTGCTAGTGTCATAATCGATATCAAATAAAATGAAGAGTCAATATCAAATTTCTTTTTTTTCTCCTCAGTGTCAGCACAAGATGGATCCTATGTACAATATGTCGATTCAGAATTATATGCCACAACTTCTGGTCAAGATTCATCTCAAATGACTTATCCGGTCTATACTGTTGGAGATTACACGCCTGGACAACAGTATTATGCAGCAACAGCCAGTAACTTTACCAGTAATTCATCAAATGGTAGTGGAAACAACAGTTCATCTTATATTGTTCCAGTAGAAGAGACCATTCTTGGTGTTACAACGTCTCGTGGATCTCCTCAAACATTATCAGCAGTAAGTCACTGAATGCTTAATTATTTCAAAAAAATCATTCTGCTTTTATTTATTTTTCAAAAATGAAGCACTTCCAGCTTTTTTAAAATAATCCATACTATCCATCCTCACTACCAAAGCTTTTTATAGCTGCTCAAATTAAAAATGCGCTTTAAGCTACAAAATTAATCTCCATCCAAAAACCAAAAAATGTGCTTCGTGGAACTAATCAAGCAAATTACGTTTCAATAAATACCTTATTTTTCTATTATTTAGGATGTGTCATTTATTCAAGGACAACAGGGTACTTCGAGCTCATCATCGACGTCAGGGACATCCGCAAACTCATCACAACAACAGCAGCAACAGCACAGCGAAAATCATAAACAAAACAACATAGATGATTCCACCCCAAATTTAACACATGCAACACGCGTTTCCCCAGCAACGGTAATTCCATTTTCCTTCTTTATTTCCTATCATCATCCATCTCTTCACGTCGTATCTTCTCTGTAACACAGAATAAAGTGGGGAGAAAAAAAAAACATTTTTTTTTTATATTGAGCTTGGTTACGTTAAACGAGACCATTTTGTTTCTTCTTCTGTTCCTTTCACTGCTTCTCACATCCGAGAAATTGATTTTTATGTTTAGTTTGCTATTACATTTTATGGAAGAATGATCTTGGCTTTTTGATTTTGCCGCAAAAGTTTTTTTTAAGTTTTAAAACTTTTTTTAATTTATTTTAAAATTCTTTTTTTTTATCGTTCAGGTTTCTTGGCTTGTTGAAAACTATGAAACTGCCGAAGGTAAGTCATTAAATTCAATTAATTTAAATTTTGGTTTTTGAATATTTTAATTGAATATTTAGGTGTATCCCTTCCACGTTCGACGTTGTACAACCATTACATGAGACACTGTAATGAACAAAAATTGGATGCTGTGAATGCTGCATCATTTGGGAAATTAATACGTTCAGTATTTACTGGTTTAAGGACGCGTCGTCTTGGAACGAGAGGAAATTCCAAATATCATTATTATGGCATTAGAATTAAACCTGGATCGAGCTTATTAAGTACAACGGTTGACGAGAAACCGTCGTCAAATTCCAGTCAATATGGAAATAGTTCAAGTAGTCAGACTACTCCAAGTAGCAGCGGTAGAAAGAAGTTTAAGCCTAATCCGGAACCATTTGAAACTTGTGCACAGGTAAGAGATCTTTTCGAACTTGATTTTGGTTAGGTTTGTTCTTAGTGGAAGATTATGATTAAAGTGGAGTTCTGTCTGTTCCTTTCAAAATCTGAAAGCCTCAAATGGCCATTAAGCTTGATATTTTATTTGAGGACATTATATAGTGCCGTCGGTGCACAGTCCAAAATACATTTAGAGATGATGGACCTAATGCTGTGTGAGAGGATATGTATTGAATCTAATTTTTGAACTTTTTAATGATCAATCCATCTTTAAAATTAGCACAAATCAAAGACAATTTTTTTTGTACTAAATCTTGCCTGTTCCTCTTGTCCACAACAGTTTCTTGGCGATGGAAGTCACGTGATTCCAGCTTTTCCACCAATTGATCTCCCACATTCAATGACCGACGAGGTAACATTAGATGATGTTGACACATTGAAGGCTATTTATCGTGAGCATTTGGAAGCTTTTCTCGATGCTGTATTGAATTTGGAATTTAATACGATCGAGTCATTGTGGCGAGAGTTTTGGCGCGCACAGGATAATAATAATCTAGACGAATGTGAAGAGGAAAAGTATTTAAGTAAAATGAAGCTCTTCAATTTGTGTCAATCCGAAGCTATTCAGAATTTTATGAAGCAAGTTGATCTTCAATTTTACCAAAACATGGTCGATGTCTTGATTCCTGATGTTTTACGTCCAATTCCATCAACATTAACTCAATCGATTCGGAATTTTGCGAAAAACTTAGAAAATTGGTTAACATCAGCCATGATTGGATGTCCCGAGGATATTATTCAGATTAAGTTGAAAGCTGTATCCGCTTTTAGTCAGACATTGAGACGATATACAAGTCTCAATCATTTAGCTCAGGCTGCACGAGCTGTTCTTCATAATACAACTCAAATTACACAAATGCTCAACGACCTTAATCGCGTCGATTTTCATAATGTTCAAGAACAGGCATCTTGGGTGTGTCAGTGTGATTCTGCAACAGTCCAACGACTTGAAAGTGAATTTAAAGCAGCATTACAACAGCAGAATAGTTTAGAGCAGTGGGCATCATGGTTGAGGCATGTCGTTGATCAAGCACTTGAAGATTATCGCGGTAAAGTGTCATACGTAAAAGCAGCAAGACAATTTTTGCTCAAATGGTCATTCTACAGCTCAATGGTTATTCGCGATCTCACTTTACGTTCAGCTGCTTCCTTTGGATCATTTCATTTGATACGATTATTATATGATGAATATATGTTCTATATTTTGGAGAGAAAAATAGCCGAAGAGACCAATACACAACCGATAGCTGTTATGTTTGGTGAACATGGCTTGCATATCACGTCAGTTAGCATGTCAAATGTTTCTGATGGAATTTCCATATATCATAGTGATGAATTTACTAATGTTAAAGTGGAATCATGTAAAAGTGTACGTCATTAAGTTAATTGTAACTGTGCAATTTATGATTATGCTTAAAAACATTTTGTCTCGTCATTGTTGACGATTTATAGTTCCCAAAGTAAAAACTGATGGATAAGGAAAGGTTTAAATGCAACGAATTAAATGTGTAATTTTATGTTGCATTGTGAAGAAAATCATACAAAAATATTTTGTAAATTATTCATCAATTTAATTGGAAAGATTTTTGGGAAAGAAAAGAAAAAAGTGAAAAAAGTGTTTAGAACTTAGTAAGTTAAGTTGTGTAAATGATTTGAATGTTTTTTACTTCATTCCACACTGTAACATTATCGATGTGCCTGGTGTAGCTCAAATTTGAAGCAATGGAATTTACTTTTGAAGTTTTGAAAAAAGTAGAATTTCTTAAACATTTTAATGAGGTTGAAGGAGATTTAATGAAGATTTTAAATTCAAAAATAAACTGTCATTAAAAATTATTTTGTAATTTTGCTGGCCATTTGAATTCAAAATTTTGCGATACTGGGGGTCCTCGATTTGAGTAGATTCTATTTGAGTAGATTCGATTTGAACAGAAAATTTATTACCCACCAAAATATTCGATTTGAGTAGATTTCTTCCTGTTTTCTTCGATTTGAATTGCTTACAAAACAAATATTTTTGATAAAAACATTTCAGAAAATAATTTTAAAACATAAATTTTACTGCGATAAGCGTGAACTTATCATATTGATAGAAAAATCAATACTAAAGTTACAAAATTAAAGTAAAAATTTAAAAAATCGATATAAAATCAACGATTTTAAAAAGTTCAAATTCAAAAACCTTACAAATTGTTCAGTGAAAAAACATTTGCAAGGTTCTCATATTTTTGTTTTGTTTCAAAAACATTTTTTTTGTGAATTTCCGTTTAAAAACAATATGAATATGCGTTGAAATAAATTAAGTTATCTAAAACACAAAAGAAAAGTTAAGAAACGAGGTAAAATGTGCAAAAAATGATCAAAATTTTCATTGTTTTGATACATTTTTTGGACTCAGGAACAAAACATGTAATTTTGTATGGATTCTTTGCCTCGATTTGAATAGATTCGATTTGAGTAGAAATTTTTTGGAACAAAACAACTACTCAAATCGAGGACCCCCAGTAGATTGACTTTCGTACAAAGTTTAAAAGTTTTTAAATTTCAAAATTTAACATTTTTAAAAAATAATATATTTTAAAAATGTTAAATTTGAAATTTTTAAATATTAAAATATAGAACTTTAGACTTTTCAAAATTTTTCAACAAATTAAAATCTAGCAAAGTTCTTGAAAAAAGTAAAGCTTTTATTGGAAAATACACAAAAACACTCAATAATTCAAGTATAAAGAGCTGTTGATTTAAAATCTAACTGCAAATTGCATATAATTAAGTTCTTGAAATCATTTAGCTTGATCGGAGACCTCAACCAACAATTAAATTGTAATAATGACGTTACCCTACTTATTTTATCAGCTTGATCATCATTTAATTCCATACAATCAAGGAATTGATAAATAATATGACATTTAATCGCCTTTTACTTTTTATGACCTTTAAACGTAAATTCCATTGCTTCGAATAATCTTTTTTATAACTTATCAGATTTATTTTGATACTTTTATTGCAACAAAAAATATTTAAAAAAAATGTAAATAGGAAAAGTGCATGCTCAAAAAATCCATCCAAAAATAATAAAAAATGTTGAAGAACATAATAGTTGTATACAATATTTTAAAATAAGATGAATTTTATGGGATGAAAAGTTTTTAAGGAAGATGAAATTGAAAATAAGGAATTTCTAGTCATATACAAATGAAAAAAATTTAATTTAGTTTCAATCATTCCACAAATGATTTTAAAATTTTAAGAAAATGAATATCTTGTCAAGAGTGTGGAATTGGATGTAATGCAGATGATTGTGCATTTACTAATTATTTTTAAAATCAAAAGTTAAAAGTATATTTTAAGTGTAAATTATGTGTTTACCTGTTCATAGTCGTACTACTGTCTCACCTGCTTTTTTGCTCAATATTTATTTAGTTTTATTCAGGAAGTTTTGAGGAAATTGACCTTTTCATTTAAATTAATCAATTTCTTATCATTTTATTTCAATTTTTAAAAATTGAATTACCAAAACCTTAGTCACATGTGAAAAATAATGTGAAAATAAAAAATAAGATTATTTAAATTCATAAAGAAAATGTATTTTTGGACAAAAAAATTAATTTATGTTAATGCACTGGAAATGAAATTAATTTTAATGAAAAAAAAATTAAGTGGATTAAAAAAGAATCATTGGAATGGAATTGTATTGTGTAGCTTTTTTAAAAACAAAAATAAAACGTTTTGTATCACATAATGTGAAAGACTATAAACAATTTTAAGTTCTCTTATTAATCGAGAAAAATCATTAAAACTGTTTTCAAAAGTTTTTTTTGAAGTCAAAAATTGATTTTATGATTTTTAAAGTTCCCATCAGATCAAATTGAAAAGCTATTCTTTTACTGCTTTTAAAAAATTGAAAAATTATAACATAGAAATCAAAAAACTTTCTTTTTTTAAATACCTATAGGTTAGTTAAATTAAGATAATGATGATGATAAACTATCACCAAAGATATTTTATGTAACAAATAAAAGGAAATGTGAGAAACAATTTTTTGAGTGAAAACAACTTTTTTTTTGTGTTAATTTAAATTTTAAAATATTTTTGTTTTAGAAATTTTCAGAAGATTTCGAAGCAGTTTGACGCGTGTACCGAAAAAATTATTACTTTGATTCGCAACAATAAATGAACATCTTAAAAGACGAATAGTTTGAAAAATCAAATTAAGATTTTAATATTTTTTTTGAATTTGAATTTGAATTTAATTTAAAATTCAAATATAATTCGTACTTTGAATCGCTTTTGAATTTTTAATAAAGTTCGACTTCTTAAGAATGAATTGAATTTTCGATTAGGATTGACTTTTGAAATAAATTATAATTTTGGAATAAGTTGCAATTTTAGATCAGGTTTGAATTTGTATAAAACAAATCAACAAAATATTTAAAACGAACAAAAGCTAAACATTTGCTCATCTCAAAATATTTTAACTTAATTCTTAAAATTCAGGACATTTCAAAGCGAACCAAAACAAATCTTCAATGGTTTTCCAAACTTTAAAGTGGCAGAATTCTAGGAATGTCGCGACATAATCTCAAAAAGCCAAAATTGAAATGCTAAGAACATTAAACATTCAATCATTCTAAAATAGAATTCTAATAACCATTTTTAAAAATATCTAACATAAAAAATCTACACAATTTGAACATATTTAAGCTTAGAAGTTTAAAACTGACCAAAAAAGTCAATAAACACTAAAATAGATCCTGCCATAGCTTAATAATAAGTAAACTCAGTTGCCATGCAAGTTTGTGTAAACTATTTCCCGGGAACATGTCCAGGTAGCAGAAAAATCACAAACTAAACCATAACAGCCATAAACTTTTCAAAACGGAGCATGAGTAAGAACGTAGAATAATCAGGAATAGTGGAAAACGACATTTCCGAAAGGGCGAATGTGTAGAGAGAAAAAAAAAATCGAGAAAAAGTTTTAATTTTTGAAGTTGAAAAAAGTTTTTTAAAATAATAAGTTAAAAGAGTGATGTACAATGAATAAAGAATAACTACATAATTCCTATATCACCCATTAGATACTTCGATTTTTTTGAATAGCTTCTTATTAGTGATATTTTTCTCGTTTTTCCCTTTTTGGGGATTTTATTTTTTTTCATTTGACTAAAAAACATTTTTTTTCCTTAACTTTTGATTCGTGAAAATTTCAATTTTTGGCTCATAAGTATTCGCATTAAGCATGGATACGGGCATGAAACAAGTCACAGTGAAGCTTGACGCAAAGCAGTCAAAGCCTACGAATACGAAAAAGAATAATAAAACACAGCCTGATGTAGATTTGCATAAGGAATTTACAAGAGCGAAGGACGAAGGAATCGTCAGGTTGAATTTATCGAAAAATAACATAACAGTCATCCCGTCGAGCATTAAAGAATGCCCGCATTTAGTTGAACTTTATCTTTATGGCAATAAAATTGCTTCATTGCCCCCCGAAATTGGATATTTAACGCAATTACAGACACTAGCTTTGAATGAGAATCAGGTATGATTTCATACATACATGCTCTTATCTCTCTTACTCATTTTTTTATGTGATTAATTCAATTATCATTTCCCTCTATTTATAGCTGAACTCATTACCGGATACATTGCAGAATTTGACAAAATTAAAAGTTTTAGATCTTCGCCATAATAAATTGGGTAAGTAGGAGTATTTTTTTCCGGATCTTAGGGCTTCCACTTTGTTTTAAATAATTCTACGAATTTACTGTTGACTAAGTCATGATTGAAAAATTGGATCATGAGCAATCTGCATGATTTCTGCTTCATTACGTGAATCATTTGCATTTTAATGATATTTATGAACTGACAACTGACTAAATTCAATTTGTTCGAGAAGGTTGAAGGATAAGAAAATATTTTCAAAAGCCCATTGGCGAGTTTATGTTCGATTGCATTGATATTTGGATTGGATATGCTTTCGAGTGCCACTCTAGTGTTAGTTGATTCCATCAAGTTCAAAATAGTATTTTGCTAGCTTTCTTTGTAAACCTTCGATAGTTTACTGGTAACATCCCACGTCTGCCAACCATAGGATGCAGGTTCGATTCCTATAAGCCTACATCATTAATAATTCAAGCCTTGCATTCAAGTTTAAGCTCAAATATACTCAATATGACAATTTAGAACCCCCAAAAAACAAAGTGGGAACTGCTTAATTATTCAATCTATGCCAATTGCAATTCATAATTTTAATGTCACTTTTTTCTATCATTTATGTCCAACGCATTTTCATTTATAGGCGAAGATATTCCAGATTCAATTTATAAATTAAAAAGTTTAACAACACTATATCTACGATTTAATCGAATTAGGAATGTGAGTGAGGAGATTAGGAATTTAGAGAAGCTAACAATGCTCAGCTTGCGAGAGAATAAAATTAAAAGTCTGCCACGAGCGATAGGATGTTTAGTGAATTTGGATATATTAGACATTAGTCATAATCATTTGGAACATTTACCTGAAGAAATAGGAATGTGTAAGAATTTAAGTGCATTAGATTTGCAGCACAATGATTTACTGGATATACCAGACACGATTGGTAACTTAGTTAATTTGGCTCGACTTGGATTGAGGTACAATCGACTGTCAGTCGTACCGCAAACATTAAAGAATTGCTGTGCTTTGGAAGAATTTAATATTGAAGGGAATTCAGTTTCGGAATTGTCAGGAATATTGTCGAGTTTAACATTACTCACAAGCATAACACTGTCGAGAAATTCTTTCACCAGTTTCCCAACAGGAGGTAACATCCTACTCCTATTTATCATTATCTTGAATGTTTTCACGGATTTTTTTTTGTTGTTTTGCTAATTTTAGGACCTGGAATTTTTCATGACAATATAACAAGCATTAATTTAGAGCACAATCAAATTGATAAGATTCCTTATGGCATTTTTTCACGAGCAAAGTCATTGACGAAGCTTAACATGAAGGAGAACTCATTGGTAATTTAAATATTTCTTTTCCTAATTGACTCAAATAGGTTTTATTTTATATTAATAGAATGTGATTGAAATCAATATTGTTGATCAATTGACGACATGCTGTTGACGATTTAATCAATTTTTTATAGCTTTTATAAATGGCATGTTTAATGATTTTGTTCAGAGTTGTACAACTCTTATGGCAACTGATGAGAGTTGGAATTAATTAATTTTGATGGTTTTAAATCAAACTTATTGGAATTGAAAGGTTTTTGATCAATTTTGTTGGAATTTTGAAGTTTTAGACGAATTTTATAAGGAATTATAAGATTCTAGATAAGGATTCATAGATAATAAACAATTTAACTGTAGGTTTTTTTACGAACTGTAGAGTTTTTCTTCAATTTTTTAAAAATTTATGAAGTTTTAATTAAATTTTGAAAACTTATTTTGTTTTAAAAAAATATTAATTTGCTTTTTTCAAATGAATAAAATGAACACATTTTTTTCTCGCGATTATTTTTAGACACAATTACCACTTGATCTCGGCACGTGGACAAATATGGTAGAACTGAACTTAGGAACGAATTCAATTTCGAAACTTCCTGATGACATACAAAATCTACAGCAACTTGAAATTTTGATTTTGTCAAATAACTTGTTAAGAAAGATTCCAACAACAATTGGGAATTTAAGGAAGCTGAGAGTGTTGGATTTGGAAGAGAATCGATTGGAGGGAACGTAAGTTTACTAGCAAATTAGCTGTTAGACTTGATAATTAATACTTTTTTAACAATACAGCATACCAGCAGAAATCGGACTTTTACATGATCTACAAAAACTAATTTTACAATCAAACCAAATAACTGCATTGCCACGCACAATTGGGCATCTTTCAAACTTGACATATCTTTCGGTTGGAGAGGTAAATACCCTTACATCCTGTCACATATTTCCTGTCCATTAATAATATTCAATTGCATTTACAGAATAATTTACAATTCATACCGGAAGAGATTGCAAATTTGGAAAATCTTGAATCACTTTATATTAACGATAATCCATTAATTAAATTGCCATTTGGTTTAGCTTTATGTCAAAATTTGGCTATAATGTCGATTGAAAACTGTCCATTGAGCTCTATTCCTCAAGAAGTTGTTGCCGGAGGTCCTTCACTTATCATACAATACTTAAAACTTGTAAGTACTTAGTCAAATTATTAATTTTTTTTAAATATTCAACGGATTTTTGGATTTTGAATACTTTTGTGACTTGAAGTTGGTTGCAGGTTGCAAAATTTCAAAAATCTGTTAAACAATTAACTCATTTAAAATGAGATTTGTGGTCATTTAACCGATCACTTGAATTACTGGCCTCACAAGACCTGATTAAAAACCAAACTCTTAATTTCCATTTTAGCACTCACCATTTCGCCAAATGTGATTTACTAATGAAATGACAATTCAATCCCAAAATAAAGGCTTATTTGGTAGCAAAATAAGTCGACAACAATCCATAAGTACATCATTCAACAAGTCACGTTCACTTTCTCAAAGTAAGTCATTTACGAATCTTAAAGAATTGAACAGTTACTATCAAAATTATTTTCGATTCGAGATTAAATGTGGAAATACAGCATTTGTTTATGAAAAGAATATTAATCGAAGTATTAGCCATTAAACTGATTATAAACATATTGTTTTTTGCATTCATAAAAAAATCGTGTATTTTTGTCACATAAAAGAAACATGAAGTCAGACAGAAAAAAAAGTATAATATTTAAATATATTAACCATCATCACATGAATTCATAATGTGAAAAAAAAAGTAATTAAAATAAATAATTCGCTCTCAAACATTTTTGTGCAAAAAAAAGAAGAAGAAAAAAATTGAAAAAAATTAAAATAATATTTAAAAGATGTTCTTAAGTGGTAAATGTTCTGAACTGTATTGAGACTATCGAATGACTTTGAATTTTCATTTCTTTCACTCAATTGCTTGATGAAAATCGTGCGCGATACACAGACAATTTTTCAAATAGGACATGTGAGTCATAAAATTTTTGTATTGAAGATAAATACTTGTTAAATAGCTTCAAACTGTGAAATTATCTTTTTTGATCTTTTATGATTGTTATTATTTTGTGTCTCCATGCTGTTTATTCTAGCAGTTCATAGATATTTATTTAATTTTAAATGCTTTTCACGTGCTGAAGTTGAAGAGATTGTAGCCTCAAGTTGATATTAAGAAGTTTATAAGGTAACAAACTGATACCTGTAACCCTCTGTTGTGAGAACGTGGGTTCGATTCCCACCAGAAACCGATGTTTCAATATTCAAAAAGTGTTGTAGATATGACAAGTACCTTTAAAACAGTTGTTCTCAAACTATAATCCGCAAATAGAATCACTTATCTACAATAACAGGCTATAAGCTAATAACTTAGTTTAAGAACCTTAGTTCTGAAAAACGATTTACTGTTCCTATTTTGTGAGTTTTCGACAGTGAAATCACTGAGTTGGTTTTGGTCAAAGAGTAAACCAAAAGTTTTTGTGTTGGTAAGCTTTGAGATAAATCATGTGGATTGCCCATACAAGTTAAATTTAGAATTCACATTCTTGAAGATAGATAGATCAAGGTCGAATCAGAACCAAACATTCAAATTAAAGATATTTGCTCTTGAAACCCAAAAAAAAAACCTCAACTGTCAACATATTTAATTCAACTAACCAGAAGATTTCCGACAATTTCTAAATGATTCAAAAAAATAATTCTCAATCAACTTCAGCGCCTGCCTCATGTCACTCGTCCATCAATCAAATCTCAATCGCGTGCGAGTAAAGAAATGAAAATTATTTTAAAAATGACTCAAACTAGAGAGTATGAAAATAAAAATTGCATAAAAAAAGACGAGGGGAAGGATGTTCACCCGATATATGTATAATTTTAAAAAAATAATGAAACTTTTGACAAATATAAAATGACGGTTTATGAAGTCTTTTTTCTATGATTGCGAAATATAGAGTGTAAAATTATTATTTCATTTGTGAATAGTCTGCGATTATTTTTATAATGATGCCATATGTTGATGCTAAATGTTTTGGAGTAAATTTTTCTAGATGTGCGGGTTTTAAGAGTTCAGAGGAATATAATATTTAAATGAGTTGATCGATTTAATGATTTATTTACAGTAAAAAACTTCTGGTTTTTGTCTTAATGAACTATTTGGCAGTAGAGTTGTGAGTCCATTTATTTATTGTTTATCTTTAAAAGAAACAACTTCTTACTAAAATCTATTTGTCGCAGTTATAATTATTTTAACGGTTAGTTTATGGAGTTTGACCTCGGATCTGTTGAGCACCATACCTTAAAATGGATAGAAAGTATTCGAGGGTGCCCTGCTCAACAGAGGAAGGGTAGGTGAATGCCTTCGAACCTAGAAACCAACACCTGGTTAGTTAAAAAACTGAAACATCTAAGAAAAGCATTCATTAGGGAAGTAGCGATCAATTTTTGAAGGAAAAAGGCTAGTCTCACCTCTTTGGGGGGTCAAAACTTTTTTCTTCAAAAATTTAAACCTAATGGCACTTTCATAAGCTTCCTTGGCTAGGCTTCAATAAAATTCAGTTTACCAACATAGCATCTTACTAGCGCTAGGATAGCCCAGAGGACAAAGCCGACTAATATTTTGTAATAATCCATATAAGATTTAGCCAGCTTCGCTTTCTGGGGTCCCCATTAAATTTTTATTTTTATATATCCATAAAATTCTCTATCCACACTCATCGCATCCTCAAAAGCCATTTAGCACCTTGTAATTTAAGCAAAACTTGAATGAACATAACTTATTCAATCAAACAATAATTCTGTCAGGTGTAATTAAAAAAAATAATAATTCGTTATAAAAATAATCACAGAACATATAATAAAATCGTTTATGCAAAAATAAAAAAAAAAAGTGTGTGAAATAAATTGAAGGAAATGAAATAATAAAGATGAAGATATATAGCTCTTGTTGAAAACCTGTTAAATATTAAGTATAAAATATGACAAACATGCAAATTGCATCCTTTTAAATATTAAAGGATATTCTTTATTAAATGATCAAGGCAGCACATTGAAACAAAAAATGGTATTTTACTGGTTGTAAATTGATTAAGAAGTAGAATAGGCGTTAAAAAATCAAATTTTCTTTCTGCAGAATCAATGAAATAGCATTTTAGTGAGATGTGCTGCTTGAGAAAATTGGAATTGACAATTGAAGAACTTGGATTTTGTTGATATTTAGATCGAGATCTAATCTTGTGGTATGGAGTAGGATCTAACTAGACGCCGAGCATTTAGCAAAGGAATTAAATGAAAACCAGGAAAGAGCAACATTTTGGAACATTTGTTAATACTAATCTGTTGATTAAATATTAATTTTTGCCATAACCTAAGCTTTGTTGCTATAAAAAGGTTTCCTATTTACTCAAAAACATCTGAATTCAGTAATAAACCAATTTCTGATTGAACAATACCTAATCAAAGATTAAAGAAACCATCTTCAATTGACAATTGTAGCAAAATAATCGCCAGACATTATAAATTATAATTTATTATCCTTTTTTCTTGAAAAGACTTATTAATGAAACAAGAAAATAATGAAATGAGATTAATTGGATGAACGCAAAATAATAATATTAATTATAATAATTAGATGATGTCGATAATAAAAAAAAAAATATTTCAATGTGTTTAATTGTAGAACTGCAAACAGACAAAACAAAAATGATGATAATATCAATTGATAGATGTTGACAATTTCTATTCAAAAAATAAAACTTTTGGTTTGATTTGGTTTTTCATTAGGTTTTAAATGACACACATTATATGATTGAATTGTGGCCATAGTAAATTAAAATTAAAATATTCTATGAAATTAAATTAATTGGACAACGATTTTGTGAAAAAAAATGGAAATTTACTGTGCTATGTTTGTGAAATTCTGTTAATATGATTTTTGTAAGTCTATTTCAAAATTGACTGTCGATTTTGAAACTTATTTTGATATTTAGAATTTCAAATTTACTAAAACTTGAAATAAAATTGTGACTTATTTCGGCTTAATTAGCGGCTAGTAATAAAATTTTCCAATTTTTGTGAATAATTAACACAATTTTAAATCAAATTTCAATAAATTTAAAAATTCTGAAACTTTTTTTTATTTGTTATAAAAGTTTTTCTTGAAGAAAATAAAACGTGGAAATTAATTTGTGATATTAATAATTTTACTAGAGCAAACGAACTTTAAGAATATGAAGAAAAAAAAATAATTATTTTGTTTAAGCTCATAAAAAAATCAAAGTCAAGAAACATTGAAATACCAAAACTTTTTATGATTTTAATTTATGCAAAAAAAATCTAATGAAATGAATATAATGAGTTTATGCTCAAATGTTTTATTTTACAAAAAAAAAGAACATATGATAATTGAGAATAAATAAAATTATTCAACAAATGTACAAAAATAAAATTTATTGAGTTTGATTTTAATTGATTTTACAGGAAATTGCATAGTGGTAATTTTGGTTGAGGTTAAACAGCATATCTAGAATAGATAAGACTGAGCATGGAGTTGCACTGAAACAGGCTATATGTGTACGACGGATAGCCGAAGTGAGATAAGGACCTCGGTGATCTAGTGGCAGGGATCTTCAAATGAATGTTTTGAGATTATCTCTTTGATGTCGATCCCCATCACACCCGACTTGGTTTACATTAGTAAGCACATACAATAGTTGTAGCAACAACCTACTCGAAAAGTTTTGAAAGATTCTTTAAAGGAGCTGTTGATAAATGACGTCCATACAAAAGAGATTTTTAGACTCCCTACTTCCCTTCCCCCTAAATGATGACGTCATTTATGAACTGACCCAAACCTACTTTTTCATTTAAAATTGAGTTCAAACATAACTTTTTAGCGATAAATTGTGCTATTAAATCTTCAGATGATAATTTTAGCATAAACTGTACAACGTTGTGAATTTTTGATTGCTAATTTTCGTTCAATTCATAAATTTCAGAGTAAAAATCATCCATTTTAACGGAATTCTGTGAATCATCACTCTCGATTTTTAACTCACTTGCTCTATAATCAGCAACCGCAACCTCGGAGTACACATCTTCAACAAACTTAATTTCTTGGCCAATATATTCATACGTAGAACTTTCAATTAAAATTTCAGAATAATAATCATTTCTTTTAGTTTCATATAAATTTTGAGATTCATCCTTGAATCTTTCTGAATCACTTTGAGTTTTTTTAAAACAAATAATTAGTTGAATTAATATGATGATCACTAGGAGAAGTGCGCATATGACAATCCACTGAATCACATTTGAATTAGTAATAGATACTCTTCCGTTTACTTCTCTGTAAGTTTCAGCAAGTTCTGGTGAACAAAATGTCTTATTCTGAATGTTTCGTAAACCTTGGATTGTTGTTGAATTAAATGAATAACAAATGTTTCTAGTAAGATCCAGCCAGTCAAGGTTATGAATATCATTAAATGCAGTATGATAAATATATTGTATTCTGTTATTGCTTAAACAAATATATTTTAAGTTTATATTGTGCTGAAATAAGTATGACTCCAGTACCTCGATTTCATTTGACTTCAAATCCAAATAGTTCAAATGTTTCAAACTTTTTAAATTTTCTGAAGAAATGGCCTTTAAATTTGAATGATTAATAATTAAAACTCTGAGATTAGGGAATATGTTCCCAAGTTTTGATGGTAAGGAATAAACAGCCTTTGACTTGGCTATGAAACCTTTAATGTTAAAAGGAAAAACTTCTTTATCCACAAAACTATAATACTTAATCAATGTGTTTATTTGAATATTCTCATTATAAAATTCAAGATTGCCAATAGCTTCACAGTTAAGTATTTTTTCATTGTACGGGAAATATTCAAATGTATATTTGCAAGAGAGGTTTGCGTGTTTAATTTGTGAGAAGACAGTTGAGACTACGAATATTGGTCTAAATAAGAAACTACTAGAATATCAATCCAAGCAGAATAT